CATTAGGTCAAGAAGTTCTGAGAATTTGAACAGATTGTTAATTTATTCATGTAATGGATTTTAATCTTTGTACATATATTGTAGAATTTGGTTCATATATTGAAATGAAAATCTGCACTCCTTTGGTCAAATCATTTGTTTGGTACAGCACTTTCTCAAAACCGAACAGAAGCAAAGCTAAAACTAAAACTGGAACACGACGAGCAGGAATGCTTTCAAAGAGAAGAATTTGGATGGATATTAGGAACGACTCTTTACTTTTTCAGATTTTCCGGTAACTCATATTTTGCATATATAGCAAGTTTTACTTAAAAATTAACAGATAATTTGCATTTAGTGTACACTGTTCAGTGTGGTAAATCTCCCAATTTGTAAGAAATTTGTAACTCAAATAGTACATAACGTTTAACCGGGTATTTGAGGTTTTATGCTCAAATCCATCATCCCACAATATTGCTTCTATACATAAAACAAAAATTCTGCTTATTAGGCCTTGAATTATGGATTTTGATGGAGCTATTACAACGAGAGCTTTTTATGGTTTGTCATGCGTAGTGTATCGTAATGGTTGATTTATGGTAGGCGGTGTGTGATTTATGATCGATTCATGTATCGTAAAGCTCAAATTAATGATAATCAACATTCACCCACACAAAAATGATTGACTGTATATAAATCCAAAATACAATATTATCAAAATCCAATATCTAGGAATACATTAGATTGAATAATTCGCTAAATTCAATCCTATCATAAGTTCATATGATCCAAATTGTTTATGCAGTATTCAAATCTTTTTCACCCAAAACCTTTTGTGACATCTTTGTGGTCTATCTCAGAATTTGACACCGTCCACCTAGAATCCTCTGTATAAATGTCGTTGACCCAGAAGCCCAACCGTGTAGCGTGAAACCCAAGTGATATGTGATTAATGGCGTTTAAACATAAAGTTTGGAGAGTACATATGTCAAACTCTGAGATAAGTCACAGATAGATCATATAACATTTGGGGTACACAAGATTTAAACTCATTTATGCACTAGGGTATATGATATAATTTGTAAGATATGGGTAGATTACGATATGAAGAAAACCGAACAACCACCAACCCACCTCTTACAAATATCAAAACAATCTCACTTCCTAGATCGAATCTATGCCTCTTTTAACACAATCTGACATGCTTAAAACACTTGTTCCTGCATATACTGGACGAACGTACATATGAACCAAGTCCTTTTCAATATAAGATTCAGTGCATGCATCGTACCATACTATGATTTGCTCTCCTAATAGTTAGTAATATAACTTTGTTTATGGCCGTGCTGTAGGGTTTCACGTCCTCCACCGAGTGCATATAGAGAACAATTTTTATGGCACAAGTGCACTGTTATTGTAATGTTTTGTATTAATAATACAATGCGACTTAAAAAAACATGATACACAATATTATATAACTAACTCAAAAGGTTACGATTCTAATATACTTGTGACATGAAAGTCATTCTCAAATATTGAACATATACTCTTCTTTTCCAAAGCGCACTGATTATTATATTAAAATGGGTGACTCTAAGCCAACAATACTATCCGCGTTGCAGGATCAGGGAAGGAGAACGTTTATCGTACGCCTTACTCTTACTTTGTAAATATTTTTTTTTACGACACGAATTCGTAACCTTTTGGTCACAAAAGAGTAATCTTTTTATTGTGTTAAGACTCGTCCTGAACTGATTGTTATATTTATCGGAAAGAAATTTAAAATCAAAAGAGAGAGATTGCAAGATCTTTGTTGATGAAAGGCTATTTGATATTTTTTAACCCTCGAACTAATAAATAATTGCAAATGAGTCCTACACGAGGAGACGCAACCAAGTTTCACTTTTGGAATACATACGTCTTTTCTTAGTGGGAGCAAGCAAAATGGTCATGTGATTCATGTGTGGACCCTAATACTGTTTTCGCTTTGATTAACTGAAACTTTACTGCTTTGATCGTCTAATAATATTCAAATTCTTTGCTTACCAGGTTGTCGTGTTCATATTTACTGGTTTCTTTTGTTGGTTTTCCATTTGATGATTTGGTGGCTATGGAACTCAACAGCTGGCAGGGTCAATGTCGCCAACAAATAAAAACAGTGAGCCGTAAAGAAATAATGACGCAGCACAAAATACATTGTAACCCATTGAAGAACAAAGTTCTATGAAATCAATCAGAGTTGGGAGAAAACAGAAACTTTTTATTAAATAATACTTGAATGATGATTACAATACCAGCCATAAAGCATAAATATACTTAACTCGATTATTAGAACTATTTGGAGAGTCGTAGAGAATGTAAAAGAAGTAAATTGAACATAAAATGAAGTCTGATTTTTATTACAAACTTTAAAATGCAATTTTGGAAGTTTAAACGACCTCATATAGTTAAAATCAATTGTACATCTTAGCAAATCGGTGCGCTTGAACTGGAACATCGCGCTCTTTTGGGGATGGTATTATGCGTCCGAAACGGAGTTCGAACGCTAAATTTGTAAATGCTCACTGTGTCTTTTTGTCTTCCCTCGCTCCATTTCATCTTTATTCCACTCGACCATCTGTTCTACTGCATCAAATAAATTGTAAAAAGTATCCATAAACCCAAAGATCAATTTTGAGATTGTCAGACTTGGTAGATGATTATTTTAAACCTCACAAAAGTATGAACTTCTTCTATATTTTGATCTTATCAACGTCACATTGGTTTTATTAATGGGAGAAAATTATCTTATGTGGTAAACGTATACAACATCTATTTATGCATGAATAAACGACCACGTCACAAAAATATGAGATGGAAGCTTCTGTATGGCTAGTACAAACATTGTCCAAATCAAATAGTCACATCGAAGTTTCTTTCCTGGTATAAAGTTACCGTTTCATGGTGCTCAGTTCTAACTACTAGAAAAACATTTGCACTTTAGAAAAAAGAATTAGCATAGCTGTACTTCTTTCATTTATTTTGAGGAAAACTAATGAAAAGGGATTGAAAACTTTGAGTTTTAATGATAAGGACAAAATAAAGGATAAAGTGAATAGTAACAAGATTGACTTTTTTGTGTAAAAATGTGGTTTTTCGTTAAAGTGAACAGTACCGGGTGCTTTTCATTAAAGTTCCATTTATTTTGTTCGTAATCCAAATGATTAGACCCAAATCTCCTCCTTTCCAAACATAATCTGACATAATTAAAATACAATTAAGGTGAAATACAAAGAATCAAGGTGTTCCCCTCCACTATCAGATTCAGTGAATGGTATTAACAGTTTACGTTTAATTAATTAATTATATTAGTGGCAGGGACATTATGTTTAAACAGGTTTTAATCACTAGGCCTTCATTGACCAAAAAAAAAAAAGAGGTTTGAGCTAGGGGAAAGGGATCATCTCAGGATCTTTTTCTCCTAATCTATCAATTTCGAGAATCTAGATTGTTGAAATTTAATCCAATAATTACAAATAAGGGCTCACTTTAAAAGTTATAATAACTTTAGCAGTTGGATCAAATTTCAATAATCTGAATTTCTGAACTTGATGAATTAGGAAAAAAATGATCATTCTTGAGTTAGGTGGTACTGAGTCCTGCGGGACCGGGCGGGCCCACTTGAATTTGAATCTAGAACATGCCCTTATGGGACCGGGCTGGCCCGGATCCAGGATTAGCTTTGGCTCTTCAGAAAAGGTAGAGCTAAAGACAAATGGCCATGTGATTTTTATGCATTATTTCTTTTTCATTTTTCTTTATAGTTGTTGAAATTTTATAATAATATATAATCGTGTTCACATTACCTAGCCAGTCATTTTCTCTATTATTAAATTTTAGAATAATATAAAATTCTTGTATATAGAAATCAAACTCACATAAATCGTCGTAAAATACATTACCACTCACAACCTTGATCATCTCCACGTATTTTCTTATTTATACAATTTTTAAAAAATGAATCAACTAATAGCTTTCTTACGTCAATTTACTTTTTTTAGGATCAAAGAAATTCACCAACGTTAACAATTAAACTCAAAACGTTCCGTTTAAAGTACTGGCTTAAATTCATGTTCAACGATTGAAGTTGAACCTGTGGTGGTTCGTTATGTATGATTTATGTTGAAGGACTTTTCCTGGTCAAGCCGTTGTGAAGAATGAAGGGATAAGCTATTTGATTTATGAATTCAAGGAGCAGAGGGAATAAACGATTTGTAAAATATGAAACTGACAAAGCAAAGCCAGTGAAAATGTGAGGTGTGAACACGACCAAGAAGGTCAAGATTGTCTTTATCGGACCAAAAAAATAAAGAAAATACAGTCAAATTAAAATATTAATTTCCCCAAAATAAAAAAAAACAAAAAACACTGATGTCCTTGGCGCTATATAAACCCAAGCAAGAGAACCCAAATCACAAAACAAACTCACAGCTCAAAAGCTTCAAGCTTTCAAGATCCAAACGTCCATTTCTTCTCTCTTTCGTAGTAGAAAGACTGATTTCAGCATCGAGAAGAGCTTTCGAAGTGTAGAATATTCGATTATTAAGATAATCAGAAGGGAAAGAAGAGATGGAGGGTTCAAGGAGTGCTATGATCAACGGGGGGAGTTTCTCTGGCCGTCTGATCCCCAAGAGGGGTCAGGTGAAGGTGGCTATTGTGGGGGTTCTGCGTCACTCTCTCTCATCCATTTTCTCTGCCAGCAGCCGCCGTGGCGGCGGCCGCTGTGAATCCGGCGATGCTCATCACTTCTCTTAAGTGGTCAGATCAGATCATGTGATGGTCAATCAACCAGTCCAGATTTTTGGTGGAAGAGTTGTACTTTTTAGATGAATGTGTGACAGGGAAGGGTAAAGGTTTTTTTAGCTCTTTTCTTGCAACAAAAGGCTGTAAAATTTTTGTAGTTTAAACATTATGATGAGTGGAATATGTTTTAATACTCTTGGTTTTTTTATTTTTTATTTTATCATTTTTCAATCCGGCCGTTACAATATGAGCATCCAACTCAAAACTAATCGACGATGAATACAAAAATGCTCGAGATCTTTTTAAGTATCAATGCTACAAAGTGGACGCGAGATACTCTGAACATCGACAATATTTTGCAACAAAAGATTGAGAGATCGAGTTTAACCTGAACCAAATATTTCACCCAATTCAACAAATTGAGGGATCAAGGTCTCAAGCCTCTTAACATATGTATTTCGAATAGGCGAAACGAGGAGCGTGAAAATCACTAGCCTATAACATATGGCAATGTGTGTGGTGTGACTTGTAGCATCAACCTATATTCTTGAGTTATCTCTGCCAAATACAAGAGTAGTGGCCCAGTTCACTGCAACATAGAACCTGTTCCTCCAGCTGACAACACGCGTCAGATAAGCGGAGCGCCAAATTAACCAGCTGAGAAATCCGGCAAGGGATATGCCCTTTGCATCCTGCAAAAATTTAATCAACAGGTTAAGGAAAATGCTTGGTAGAAAAGCACTTTGAAAGTGCTCGGCGGAAAAGCACATTGCCCTTCAGCATAAAGGCAAAGAAAATCTACCTTAGACTGGCGCAGATCAACCAAAGCCTTATAGCCTCCAACTGTTGCCATGCTTCCTAGGTGCTTGTACACAAATTGCTCCCCGAGAGGAATGTCTTTCGCGCTGAAGGCCTTCCCGGCATCCTGCTTCCCAATCCTGTTAAACAGCTCCACCAGATACTTTCCTTCCCTTTCTGCCACCTATTTGAAACGAAGGGAACTTGGTTAGTTCTAAGGTGGCTTCACATTTGCTCATTTGCTCTTTCTGCGTCGATCTATCAGCAAGTTCAAAAGTCCGAATTCGGTTGAAAGATTTTACTATAAATTGTCACTTATATATAAGGAATGTGTAGGAAATATGACAGGCTTGAACAGCAATGTGTAATTTCTGGAGCAAACTAAAAGTTAACCTGAGCTAAAGCCGGAAGGACTGGCCTCCCCGTCTCCTCGAGAAAACCGGCACAATCTCCCAGTGCAAACACATCTTCCACTGAAGGAACCCGCATCCACCCATCGACACCAATCCTGTGTCACTCAAGAAAATATTATTTTAGATCCTTGCTCCATTGAACATAAAAAAGAAACCAACCGAAAAAATGAGCAAAGAAATGCTGGTGGATATACCTTCCGCCTGGGGACTTTGGAAGATCGAGTTTTTTCACAAACTCTGAGGGACCAACGCCGGTAGACCAGACCAAAAGGCCATATGGAACATCAGTGCCATCGTTGAGAACTATCTTCTTCGGATGCACTTCTTTCACAACGCCTCGCATAAGGCGAACGCCAACCTGGTGAAAAGGTCCACATTTCAAATCCATCCCAAGAATTAACAAGAAGTAGCCTTCAGTATTAGAAGGCAGACCAAACTTACCTTGGTCAAGTGATTTGTTGCGTATTGCCTTAACCCAACATCGAACGATGACAAAATCTCATTCGCCTGTCACAAAAAAAAAGAAGAGAAAAAGATCATTGGTTTCATAATTTATCTCCGCAAGAAGCCAATCCATAAATATATGTGAGAATTACAAATAAGTACCTCAATGAGAGTGACTTTGATGTAATCCTTAACGTGACTAAACCGTTCTTGTACATCTTTCATGATGAAATCGCTCAATTCGCCACTGAACTCCACCCCTGTAGGGCCACCTCCAATAACAACACAATGCAGGACGCGTTTCCTTTCTTCCTCCGATATGCCTGCGAAGTAAAATGCATAAGATGTTAGAGGTAGGAACACTGATTCTTGGCAATTGTCCTCACTCAAGTCCTCGAATATCTGTATACTCTGAGACGCATATAACACTCACCTGGATGTTCCGAAAGCATGAGGTTCAAGAGAAGCTTCTTCCTAATCTCTTGGGCATGATTCACCTCGCGGAGGAAAAATGCATGTTCCTTCACACCCTTGATGCCAAACGTCAGGGGTTCAGCTCCGGCAGCTATGATGAGTTTGTCATACGCTACTTTGAACCTGTAAGGTTCATGAGATAAACCGCCATTGCTAATTGTCTCACAGTAAACCTAGCAGAAAGGAGAAGATTAACCTTTCTACTGATATGACTTAACAATGCTGCACTAGTCAGTGTGCCATATGTTACGATAACTGAACTATACAAATATTTTCCAAATTCGAACGAATCCAGTTGATAACTATTAATTCACTCACCTCATGTTTGTCAGTGTCAAGGCCGACGCAGGAAGCCATGTAAAAGTATGAACTGGGACTCGCTGCCAATGCAGATTGTATACGACTAACAGGTTCAGCTACCGAGCGAAATTCCAGGGTACCAACGCAAGTTGAAGCAAGCAAAGGAGTGAAGACCATGTGATTTCTCGGCGATATGCAAACAACATCATAAACCTTGGTGTCTAGTCCTTTGAGGAATCGACATGCAGCCCAGCCAGTACCAAGGACCACCACTCTTGGCTTTTCACTCGGCCTGGTTGCTTCTAGTCCCGGATACTTGGGGTCATTACACTCCGAATCGGACTCCTCAACAATCCTTTCCGCAGAAGGGAATTGATAATTCGGGGTTATGCTTATTCCCCTGCTCCAGAAACTATTGTGATTCACCTTTGAAATGCTGGAGAGATACGAAAGATTGTTGTTTCTCTTCTCCCTTTCGAGTGAAGGTACGGAGCAATATTTGCGTGTGGATGCTCGCTCACACAACATATCCTTCTCAGTTGTGCGCGAAGATGCTCCTGATGGCGACCTTCTGAATCCATGTCGAGCAGTCCTAGAAATCCTTTCGAATGCCATGTTCAGATTGAGTACTTCCCCCCAAAGCACGAGTGGCAAGTACTCTTTGACCCTCCTAAAGGATACCAAAATGGTGCGTGCTCAACCTGTTGGAATTGAACCAATGGAAGTGAGCTACGAAAATCGTTACCACTATATAACAATTGAAGGCAGAAATATTTATAGGTAAGCTGAACTGTCGCTCCAAACAGATGATGAGGTGAAGACAACAGGCAGGACAATTAGAGCACCACTCCAAACAGATTATTAGCATTTGACAGCAACTCGTGTCGAAAATACTACTTGGCTCGAAAACATAAACCAGTTGTATTTAGCCACAAGCTGATGGGGGAAACAAAGAGAAAGGCTCTTGTAAATTCAGGAGGAGTGAAAGATCATAAAAAGCAGTAGTATAATTCTATGCATTGCGTATAGACATTAACATTTAATTAGCACACAAAACACAGATCACACACACAAACACACCCGCGCTTGATCGCTTGTATCAAACATTAAAAAAGAACCCGGATGAATCCATACAGCCAGATTCATGAAATTTTAAAAAATTCAATCATTTGGCTAAAAAAATTGTATGGCATCAAAGCAACAAAGCTATATAAACATCCCTGCCAAAGATCAACACCAAAGGCACAAAAAAAAACACGACCCGAAAGCGAAAAAATACAGACTTTCAAATCCAGAAATCAAACTCAAATCTAACAGCAACCCATCGGCATCGTGAAGCAGAAATTGAATTAAAAGAATATTTACAGTAAATTTGGAGCGATGAAATCAATGAAAGTTGCTTGCTTTGGAATATCCAAGATTCTTGGAGCAGCTTCTTAGGACAAAAAACGAAAAGGGTTTTCGGTGTCTGTTTATATAAAGTTGGTGGGAGATCACAAAATATAAGAACTGATCTGGAAAGTAAAGGTTTGGGAAATCAAGAGAAAGTTGGAAGGGCACCGACTTGCGACGCAAGGAAGGTTGTTGGGATTCGATATGTAAATATTATTAAACATTAGGCAGTAAAAGAGTGACTAAAGTCCATGGTTGGCATTTATATTTCACTCTCTGGGAAATCAAAAAGTGGAAACTGGAAAGGAAAAAATGCAGAGGGAAAGGAAGAGGAAGAGAGTGGTAGACAGTACGACGAGCGTATGTAACACATTGTGGTGTCGTTTTGTTCAGTGGGTCCCACTTTCATGAACCATTTTCCACGAATGAGTATCCTCTTCAGATCTTCTTTACACGTCTGAGAATTTTCCAATCATATATGTTCATTGTATATGATCAGTTTTCATCAATTACCGTTTATATTTAATTTTAAATAAAAAGATTTACAATAATTTTTAACCGTACAATATACAATAAACGAATGTGATTGAAATTTTTTCATAATCCTCACAAAAAGAATTCGAAAAGGATGCTCATTCATTTTCCCCAGCTGTATGCGTAAATTCGAAAAGGATGCTCATTCATTTTCCCCAGCTGTATGCGTGTGAGTGTTAAACCCTAAGCCCGAGTTGGTAAGTGAGAGAGGAGACAAAAAATGGCGGTCGGTCAAGATTTGAGGTAGGTAGGGCGTGATTGAGTACAGTACAACTGTCTTGTCTCCCACAATTTCAGGGCGTCCTTTTGACTTTCCTTTTCCTAAAATTTTATGGGTCTCAGAAAATGGGCCCACTACTAGTACCCAAAAACCATAACTCAAATTGGGTCTATGACTACGAGGGCCAATCCAGGTCTTTTGATTGTTTTTGTGTGGCGGAAGTCCTTCGAAAATAAGTTTTGTGGTAATTTTTGGAGGAGAAATGCAAAGGGAACTCTCTCAAAAGAAAACTTTTCGTAAATTCTTTGTCATCTTATGTTTTTAGCATAATATTTTATAATGTAAGCACGAAAATTAACGTTAAAGTGTGAGATGACAGAGAATCCATGAAAAATCTCACTTTGGAAGAGTCCCATTAGCATTTCTCTTTTTGGAGAATCACCCAAAACCTATTAAAAATTGTGAGTTAGTGCAGAGTTTTTATTTGAAAAAATTGTATTGTTGAGTTTTGGAAAGCTCTTGCCTATTAAAAAAAATGTTACAAGCTATTTTGAAGCCGTTTTATCATTTATCAAGCCACATATGTGCTTTTTTTCTCTACTTTTCAAGTTAGAAAAAAAAGAAAGGAAAATCAATAAAAATATATGAGTTTGTAAAAAAATGTGATTCCTGATTTCCCGCAAGATCTTTCGTGATTACTCCATTTTCAACCTTCGATTTGGAACTATAAGAAGAAGGGGGGGGGGGGGTCGGATAACATATTTATAGCAGCTTATAGCACATTGGAGGCAACATACATACATTAGCAATTTGAAGTGAAATAACAAGTTTTCAAATACGAAAGTACAAATTTTGGTTGATTGCCTAATCTTATAGGAAACTGTATAAGGGAGAAAGAATAACCAATTGAACTTTAAATTAGAATGTCAAGTTTTCTTCTAGCTAGCTAAGATCCTAGCCAGGCTTCAATCTTCATGCTTGAGTTTGATCATCAACTTCCGGTTAGTTGATTAGGTTAGGTGGGTGAATGTGATACGTCGTCATCAACTCCTGTATCTTGACTGGAAGAGAAGACGCGGTTGAGGATGGCCGCCAAGCGAACCCCTCCTTGAGCAATCCTCTTCTCCACCACAGGTAGCCGAGGAAGGAAGTAATCCTCTAAAATTTTCAAACACATCATTGGTTGGTTAACAATTTCGTATTGAAATTTGGAAGTGAGTGTGTGTGTAACGTATGTACACTGGTAAAAATGTGATTGGGCGTATATACCTGTAAGAGTATCACCCGCCTCAACGCCCTTGTAAGCCCACTTGCAAGCTATGTTTATACTCTCCGTCGCATACCTATACATGTACATACGTAACAAGGTATTCAACACTATCATCGACCACCAAAATATCAAGGCTGTGTATGTACGTACGTGCATGAGATCATGAACGTTGATCAAAGCTTACTTGTTTATACATGAACGTTGATCATCGCAGTGTTTCCATGATGTAACATCATCAGACCAGATTCCCTGTTAGCATAGTTAATAATTCAGTCGCATAATTCCATATATCGATCGATCCCTTGTAAGTTAATGAACATCGGTGCTTACATCTGTGATGTTCACCAGTATGTCTTGTAGGAGGAGTTCCATGTCTTTGTCATAATAGTCCTTCATAGCTTGTTGTATGATCTCCCTATCCCACACCTGCAGAAACAAGAAGTTTCGATTTTTAATAAAGAATGGATGTTCGTTCCATAGCCGGACTACTATTTGGTTGTTCCAACTTCAAGGGCTTACATGGTGAAGATTGGATTTGTGCCTGTACCAACGCAAGGCTATCGTGTTTCCTCCCTCATCTGTCGTGAACCCGACATGCATTGGCTGCCAAAGGATGCACGAAGACGATCAGAAACATAAAAACTTGGCAGAAATTCATATAAATTAAATCCCAAGAGAGAGGTAAAAAATAACATTCATATTTGTTGGAATTGCCCACGGGTATATATATTGCATGATGGATATCTCCCATAAAGTGTGACAAGAAAAGCAAGGCCTCAGTCATATTATCAGCAAAGATCCAAATACAAAAGAAACTATCATGTTGTTGTCGTGGAATACAAGAAACTAACGATTGACAAACCCTAAAGCAATACAATCAATCTATGCATAAAAAAAAATCGGGGTTTCTTACACAGACGGTCAGATGTTCCTTCTGTGTAGTGTGAAAGTTGAGAGGTGAAGTTTTGGACGGCACCAGCAACACACATGTTCTTCACGCCATGTTGATCATGACAATCCCCTATTTTTTCAAAAAACCAAACTTTGACTCAACGTTGCTTTCTTGCCAATCAAGCGGTACTAAATACTAATTAGTCAGGGGGAAGCTTACTTGAGTAGTCAAAGGTGCAAGCATTATCTGGTGTGTCGATGAAGTGAAGTGGGCTAGTCCACCGGTATCTGTACCAATGCCTGATCTGATCCGGCCATACGCAGAGAGCTGACAAGTCGCCATCCACGTAGTGAGGTAGTAGATTTTGAACAGCTTCTGCAGCCTCAGGCTCTAGGAGTGCCTGCAGCTTATCACTAGTTAGTGAGAGAGAGGACACTTGAAGGATTAAGCTTCTTTGAAAACTCAAAATCTAGAACTGATCAGCCTTTTGCTTGTTTGCTTTTTTGTTTCCCTTTTCTTTAGGGCATGTAAAGAATGGGGTAAGTTGGATTATCAAATCAAAAAAAGAAATAAAGAATTAGGGTCGTCAATTACTTTTGAGTAATTGCTTTTACGGTTTTTTCTTTTGGACATAATTTTAACTTGGATTTCGAGACAACTCATTTCATAGAAATTCTCTCGTGCGGACCCTAATGATGCTCATTGGGTATGCGTGTCCGGCACCAATAGGGTCCGTATAAGAGACTAGCTCATTTACCTGCGCAATCCGGCACATCATCATGTGACCCTCTTTGCTCCATCCTTGAGCCCTTGGAACCATAATAATGCAAACAAAAACCAACAACAAAACAAACCAATGAAGGGAAAATCCCCCAAAGCATCTATACTTCTCCATCTTATTATGTTCCTCAATATGTCGACAATATACATACAGACTATATTTATAGGCCCACCAGAAGGACTTAGTTCCTTATATTACAAGACATCAACGGTGTTCCATGAGTACAAGTTTGGTCTTCCAACTAAATTAAGTACCTTTAATGTCTTTATTTAACTAAATTAAGTACCCTAAAAGTCTTACATGAACACAAGCAAGGTGGAGATGAGGTGGAGCATATTCTGCAGAGGATATTCAGGACATCAGCAGCATCGTAGGGATATGCTGAGAATTAGGTTAAATTGCACTAATGGTCACTCTAGTTTACTCGGATTTTCACTATCATCAATACCGATTATGCTGTTTGTCCTTGCAGTTTCATTTTGTTTTTGCTAGTCCAATCCGTCAAGTTGGTTTTTTTTTTTCATCCATTTTTATGCAGATCTCATTTGAACAAATCCAGTTACAAGGAATTTTGCTTTATTTGACGGATTGGACCAACGGGCTAACAAAATGAAACTATAAGGACGGAAGTGAAAATCCGAACAGACTAGATGGACTATTAGGGCTATTTCGCCTAAGACTTGGCTAGTTTGGTACATCTCTATCCTTCCTCTTCATGCATCAGCAATTTGTTTTGCTTGGGAAGAGAAAATACGATTGAGGGTAGCAGCCAGGCGGACCCCACTTTGAGCTAGCCTCTTCTCCACAACAGGTAGCCGAGAGAGGAAGTAGTCATCTGATTAACAACAAAATTAGATGAGAATATGCCAGTATCAAAAGATAATGATGATCCACTTCTATGTGATGTGGAGAAAAAATGGATTAAAGAAGCCAGAAATGTGATTATATAAACATTTGTAGGACATGCAATTATGCAGGTAGGTTGTCATTGCTGCAATATTCAACTATTCGAGAAGAGCTTACACGCAACTGGACATGCAATTATGGTGACGGTATTCCAAGTCAATCATGCACCGTCATGCGGGAAAGTCTAGACACATGATGGGGCATGATAGGCTTGAAATATTGCCACAACAACGCTGCAGGTGTAGTTTTTTTCTCCATTTTCACACCAATAACTCCACATATGTTATCTACTTTTCCCTTGCCAAGGAGAGACTTAAAAAGCTATGTGAAAGTTAAAACACATGAATCGTAATATTGTATATTGGTCCGGGATGCCATGGACCATTGTGCCAACCCGAGGGTTCCCCTTTCCCAATTGAGTAAACGAAACTTACAATGGGAATTTGTTTGGTGCTAAATCCAAACCTAACGCTGCTTACTAGGCCTTGTTATGAAAGAGAAAACATTTATCAGAAAAGAGAACATACCTGTCAGTGTGCTTCCAGGTGTGGCATTTCTGTAAGCATATTTGCATGCCAAACTAATGCTTTCAGAGGCATGCCTGCATGACCAAAAACAAGTCAAATCATATCTAAATATGATGTATCGAGCATTAAAGAAACAAAGAGAACATTTACATACTCGTTCGGACATACAGTCTGATTATTTGCACAAATCTTCCATGACGGTATAACATTGAACCAACCATCCTACAAATAGTAATATACAGATAAACAGAAAGGAGAATATAGGTATCGCATTGCAGCAGATGATGTGTACTATTTGTGAGGACAAAAAGCAGAAGAAACTAACAAACTAAAACGACAACAAAAGATGAACATCATACCGTAATATTCCTTTCAATGGCCTTTATCATGATTGCAAGATCCTTACTGTAGTATGTCTTTACAGCAGATTCAATGATCATATTATCCCAGACCTGCAATAACACCATTTTCACAGGATCAAACTACATGTTGCTTATAAAATGACATCAACAACAAATAAGCCATTTTTCTCATTGCAAAGTCTATCTGATCGTTGTTTCAACAATCATTCTCGTAAAAACATAAAGCCAGAAAACAGGTGGAGATTTAAGGCTTACATGGTGGAGATTCGTCTTCCTGCGATACCATCGGACTATTATTGTGTTCCCGCCTTCATCTCCAGTGAAGCCAACATGTAGGGGCTGTCACAGCAAAAGATGAATTTTCTAAGAAAAATGAAAGGCATCTTTTCTTGTACAAAATTTTGCAAAAAATCTATAAACCTCTAGTCTAAACCATTCAATTAATTTGTTTCATTAATTTGCACCGCTTCATTTGGATAAACTCTACAATGTGGATGGAAAAATCATATACATACTGAAATTAAAAATATTTAATGAAAAAAAATGTAATATTTGTTTTCCAAGAAAACTTTCAAGTAGCATGCCATCGCACTGTTTGCCTTTTAAGTAAGACAGTAAAAGCTTTTATGTATCAGTACAAAGAACAAACCTGATGCACATCCCCAATAAAATGAGACAAGAACATAAGTGCCTCTGTTAAGTTGTCTGTAAATAGAAAAGGGAGGAGGAATTTGGTAATTACTAAAACAAACAGTTATATGTTAGAACGGAAGTTATATAATAATATGGCTGCTCACATCCTGATTCTGAGATGGACTCATGGTAACCCGAAGAGAGTTGCATCGAATAGTTGTAAATCGCTGCAGTGACACACCTATCTTTATGTCCAGCAGAGTCATGGCAGTCTCCTATTCAAGTAGGGCAATTATCTTTTATTTTCAGATTGAACTTAAACTTCGCAATCACTGATCAGTGATCACAAGTGCACCATAGACAACAGCACGCACAAGCTACTGAATTAATAATACAGGCCAAAGTATTCCAGATTAGAGAATCTCACATTCATATACTTAGAGAAACATTCATAAAACGTAAACCATACCACATTAAAAACTAGCATCAGTGAACCATCGAAAGTTTGCGACTTACTGCAGTATTTGTAGTTACACTTAAAATCCGGTGTGTCAACATAGTGCAAAGGACCACTCCATCGCCAATGGTAGCTATGACGAATCTCATCAGGCCAGGAGCAAACTTCTGCAAGATCACCTTTGGCAGATGCCGGTAGCAACTCTTTCACCGCAGCGAGAGCCTCTTCACTCAGAAATCCCTGGACAAAGAAACCGATTGAGCATCATCCAAATTAAGCATGTAGCAATTTTCATACCAAATTACCAATGATATCAATCCAGTAACACACCTATTCACATTGATCAATTCAAATCTTGTAGCATCCAAGATATTTACAAAATACCAGAGCAAAAATTTCCAGTTATAAATTTTCATAAATTTCCCAGGACCTATCACGCAGCCTAAATTATTGAAAAATCAAAGAAAGATACAAAAGTAACTGAATTTTTAAATTTATGGCCAAAGTTAAGCTCCTAATTTCATAAATTTCAGTTTTTTTTTTCTATATCAAATTACAAATATAGCCAAAATCCCAGTGTTTTAGCACAAAACTCACCTCTGCAATCTTGCAAATTGTGTAGTGGCCTTCTTTGCCCCAACCCAGAATTCCTGGCACCAATAGCATAGACCCAAGCACCCTCCAAGTCCACCAAAACCCAGTCCCACCCATCACTGTCACAGCAGAATTAAGCTAGAAAGAATCAAAATTTCCCGAGAAAATCAATACCTTGAATTCAACCACTGTTTGGCTGCTGAGAAAATGTGAGGCCCAGAACTCTGGTCAGATTTGAATTGGAGCTGTGACAGCGTGACTGGTGGTTCTATTTTCTCAGAAACCAAGCAAAGGGGAAAAAGAACCAACCATCACAGCCCGACATGTCGTTTCCTCATTGGTCCCTCAAAAGCTGTGCCACGACATGTCGTTTTCCCCACGGCATGTCGTTTGCCCCACCTTTTAGTTTAACCTTCCTCTGTTGCGAACGTGCCAGAGTCCTGCAGTCAGTGGGAAGCTCAAAGTTGAAAGCTTCAATGAAGGCCGTAGTGATAACGTCTCCAGGTGGGCCCGACGTCCTGAAGCTCCAGGAAGTCGAGAACCCACAGGTCAAAGACGATGAAGTTCTGATCAAAGTCGCCGCCACGGCGGTGAACCGGGCCGACACGATTCAGAGGAAGGGGGCGTATCCGCCGCCTCCGGGTTCCAGCCCCTACCTGGGACTCGAGTGTTCTGGAACCATCGAGGCCGTCGGGAAACACGTGTCGCGCTGGCAAGCCGGTGATCGGGTAATTTGAAATTTGGATTTTTGTTTTTGATGTGTTTGGTTGGTGAGAAAATGGTGGGAAAGTAGAAGGAAAGTAGTTGTTTGGTTATTTGGGTGTATGCATATATTGAATGAAAGACATTTGAGAAGGTGGTCTGCTGTTAAAAATTTGAGCTTTTTCTACAGATATGTGTTAGGCTTGAAATTTTCCCAGGACCTATCACACAGCCTAAATTATTGAAAAATCAAAGAAAGATACAAAAGTAACTGAATTTTTAAATTTATGGCCAAAATTAAGCTTCTAATTTCATAAATTTCAGCTTATTTTCTATAACAAATTACAAATATAGCCAAAAAAAGAAAAAAACTCAGCCAAAATCCCAGTGTTTTAGCACAAAACTCACCTCTGCAATCTTGCAAATTGTGTAGTGGCCTTTGCCCCAACCCAGAATTCCTGGCACCAATAGCAGAGACCTAAGCACCCTCCAAGTCCACCAAAACCCAGTCCCACCCATCACTGTCACAGCAGAATTAAGCTAGAAAGAATCAAAATTTCCCGAGAAAATCAGTACCTTGAGTTTAACCCACTGTTTGGCTGCTGAGAAAATGTGAGGCCCAGAACTCTGGTCGGATTTGAATTGGAGCTGTGACAGCGTGACTGGTGGTTCTATTTTCTCAGAAACCAAGCAAAGGGGAAAAAGAACCAATCATCACAGCCCGACATGTCGTTTCCTCATTGGTCCCTCAAAAGCTGTGCCACGACATGTCGTTTTCCCCACGGCATGTTGTTTGCCCCACCTCTTAGTTTAAACCTTCCTCTGTTGCGAACGTGCCAGAGTCCTGCAGTCAGTGGGAAGCTCAAAGTTGAAAGCTTCAATGAAGGCCGTAGTGATAACGTCTCCAGGTGGGCCTGACGTCCTGAAGCTCCAGGAAGTCGAGGACCCACAGCTCAAGGACGATGAAGTTCTGATCAAAGTAGCCGCCGCGGCGGTGAACGGGTCTGACACGATTCAGAGGAAGGGGGCGTATCCGCCGCCACCGGGTTCCAGCCCCTACCTGGGACTCGAGTGTTCTGGAACCATCGAGGCCGTCGGGAAACACGTGTCGCGCTGGCAAGCCGGTGATCGGGTAATTTGAAATTTGGATTTTTGTTTTTGATGTGTTTGGTTGGTGAGAGAATGGTGGGAAAGTAGAAGGAAAATAGGTGTGTGGTCATTTGGGTGTATGCATATATTGAATGAAAGAAATTTGAGAAGGTGGTCCTCTTTAAAATTTGAGCTTTTTTCTACAGATATGTGTTAAGCTTGAAATTCATCAGGGCAGTGTGCCCGCCGCTTTGCGCCCAAGTTCAAATCTCTTACTTCGTAGGTTATAGTAGTTATGATATCGTCGTTGTCAAAAGAATCCAGATTTTAACATTCAGTTGACTCAATAAGCTGAAACTAAAATGAAAAATGAATCATATAAGGAAGTTAAATTGGGGTGATCACTATTTGAATTTGCTTGAGTTTTACTTTCTATATATAGGACAAGGTAATGGATTGATATCCTAGTTTGCCCATCAAAACTTTTTGGGGCAATGCGTTGAGTCTTGCAAAACTGGAAAAGGAAGCGGTTTTTGCTTAGCTTGTTCATAGTGCAGGTCCCAGTTGCATATAGTATTTGGCTTAAGAAGAAGCATTGGACTGGTTGGAGTTCTTAACATGAGAGAATGGTCGGGAAATAAATTGTATCGCGTGAGGAGCCGGAGACACCCCGTATGCACTTAGTTTTACACCTAAGATATGCATCTTTAGCGTTTCACTGTATTTTACTATAGCCCTTTGTTCCACTCTGGCAGTGAAATAGGATTTGAGTCTATGTTTTCCCCCAAAGGGTTTATTGATTCAAGTATAGAAATGATGGATGTAGTGTACTTGAACCGTGTCATCCTGTGTTGTGCAGGTGTGTGCTCTTCTTAGTGGAGGAGGGTATGCCGAGAAGGTGGCTGTTCCAGCAGGACACGTTTTTCCCATCCCACCTGGTATTTCTATGACGGATGCTGCTAGCTTTCCTGAGGTGGCATGCACTGTTTGGTCGACTGTATTTATGATGAGTCGGCTTTCTGCTGGTGAAACATTTCTGGTAACTTCCAGACCTACTTTACCATACGTGATAAGGTCGATTACTTTCTTCGTCTGTGATGCATCGCTTTATATATCACTGAACGACCTGCTAAAATCTCAGGTTCATGGGGGCTCCAGTGGAATTGGTACATTTGCGATTCAGATAGCCAAATACCAAGGAGCAAGGGTTTTTGTCACAGCGGGTAAGCTGGCGTTTTTTTTTTTGGGCATAAAATCAGTTTTTCATGTTTATTGATATAGATCTTGATCTCCAGGAAATGAGGAAAAGTTAGCTGCTTGCAAGAATCTTGGAGCCGATGTATGCATCAATTACAAGACAGAGGACTTTGTTGCACGGGTGAAAGAAGAAACAGGCGGCAAAGGTTTGGTCACTTGCATCAACACCCTATTAGTCATCCCCAAAAATAGATTACCATACCTTTTAATTTTTATTTAGTGGTACTATGGGATAAGAAAAAACATATTGGTATACAACAATGGCAGGTGTTGATGTTATCTTGGATAGCATTGGGGCAGACTATTTCCGGCGGAACCTTGACAGCTTAAACTTTGATGGGAGGCTTTTTGTTATTGGGCTCATGAGTGGTCCTGTTACAGAACTAGACCTTCGTGCTGTGCTTTCGAGGCGTCTCACCATCCAAGGTAGTGGAATTTATACTGGGTCTTAGTAACATGGTTTGGACATTCGAGTTTGGGTTTTCTCATTTAAGATGTTGACGTAGTTTAAGTGCTATGCTTTCAATCAAGTACTGATTTTTCCAGTCATCAGTGACATTGTTCTCCTCGCATTTGCAAAAAGCTTTTGTGCGTTATGCAATCTAATAATTTGTGGTAGTTACATCCTTATATTATATGGTTGGTTGTGTATGCAGCTGCTGGCTTGCGATACAGAAGTCCCGAGAACAAAGCGGTAATTGTTAGGGAGGTGGAGAACAATGTGTGGCCAGCAATTGTTGCTGGCAAGGTGAAAACTGTGATATACAAGTCTTTTCCGTTATCTGAAGCAGCGGAAGCTCACCGGCTCATGGAAAGTAGCCAGCATATCGGAAAGATACTGCTCGTTGTATGATTATTGTAATCAAGTGTGATCAAGCGAACAATATGGTTTAGACCTCGTGATGTTGGGTCTAGAATAACGCTGGATGCGCATATGTGATATCGCAATGCTTATGTCGTCGTACACATGTATTACGAGAATAAATTTTCGTACAAAAGACATGCCATTTGAACATTTACATAACGAATACTATACGTATGTAGAGATGGATCATGAGATTCTGACCAATTAGAGGGATGGCGCCGATGGATGGCAGGCGGCTAATATAGCAGTTGAATTATTTGAACAAACTCTCTCCCGTGGTTCATGTCCAGGAACTGGTGTCGGCCGCCACGGGAGCACAAAAGGGAAGACAATACCTCGTTCGCGCAGCACAGTTGAACATGGCAATGTGTTGAGACGATTCAAGATACAAGATATCCCCATCATTTGGGTCCAAAGCAAGCAAATAAACCTTGTTACCAAGGCGGAGGTCAAAATTATACAGGTTCACTCTGCCTGTTAAGCTCCAAGAGTATATGCCTGCTGCTGCCTCATCATCTTTCACGTAATCCCAAACACACACATCACGAACAAACCTCGACTACCTAAAGTGAACTGGCACATTCGCACACAAGATCCCGATGATGATCTACTCAAATCTAGGAAGTCAGATTGTACTGCATCTTTACCATCATCTCCGCATCCACCACCACCAGCAGAAGCAGCAGTACTAGTAGTAGGAGGACTCGCGGGAGGAGGGATACAGTTGTCATCGTTGGAGTAGGGATCCAAACCAAGAACAAGGCCATTGCTGCTCAAGAAGTACAGCATTCCATTGAAAACAACTGCCGCATGCCTTGGAACCAAATTACCAACACAAAATCTTGTATTTTTTTGGGTATAACTCAACTCTTTCTGTCCAGTTACAAGTCTCAGAAGCAAAAAACTCCGTTTTGATCTGGCCGAGGGATGAATTATATCCTTCGTCTCTATCATCAGGATAATTATTCGCACAACCTGTAACTATGCTGATCGTCCCAAACACGATGTAGGGATTGCACATGAGTCCAACCAACGACTACTTTCTTGGTGCATTGAGGAGGGGAAGGGCACCCCATTGCATGGTGTATGGATAACATATGTAGTAATCCTGTTGAAACCACCTCGTCCCGGTGCATAAAACTACAATCGGTTCACCCCCTTCAGCTATTGTCTTGACAGGCCCTTGAAAACAAGGGAGGAAGCTCAAAGAGAAGTTGCGCCGCTGCCGGTCGCCGCGGTGTACTTTTTCGGCACCCAAGGCTACTCGGACGTGGTAAGGCCATCTCCAACCGACCTAGCCAAAGGGTCATAGGGCTAAAAATAGTCCATTTTGACACGAAAACCGTCTTCAACCGAGGACTAGGCCAAAGGGCTCGTGGTCCCCACCCAGCCAAAAATGGGAGAACCAGCCAAAGGGCTGGCCAAGAGTAGCCAGCCCTCCAGCTCAACCCATTTGAATGCCAACGACTACTTGGCGTCAGCGTGACGCCAGCTAGCAACGGTTAGCTGACGTCATGTTGCCGCTAAGTTACAGTTGAAATTTGATTTTTTGACAAATTTAAAAAAAAAAAAAAACTCATATAAATACCTAAGCCATTCCCATTCCTACACCATTTCTCACATATTTTTCACCATTTCATACTATCTTACCTCATTTTATTTCAATTCTTCACATTCTATTCTCTTACTCTTCCAATAATCTTTCCTTCAAATTTTTCAATAATTTTCAAATGGCCACATCTGCAATGAAATGAAGATGAAGCTCTTTGCAACGTTTATAGACGGAGAGAGAGTGTAGATTTGATTTATATTCAATCTTATTCGAATCTGACGACTGTTACAATTTTAAATATATATTTAAAAATTAAATAACATATATATTTTTTATTTCGGTTCGGTTCGGGATTACCGAACTAACGAAAACTTGAGATCGATTTCCCGTACCGAAAATTTCAGTTTGATTCGGTATTGGATACCGAATTATTTGAGAATTTTTCGGTTCGGTTTGGGATATTTGGTATTTTCTTCCGCCCCTCTCTGAGAGATTGAGAGGGTTCGCATGTGATAAATGGGCAAAGCATTCAGCTTCCGATTACAAGACAGCAATCGGCATGGACGCTCACTGATCCAATTCAAGTAACAAGCTCAAGTGGGTCGGCGAGAATCCCATTCCTTCACTTAAATTTCAGCACAAACACAGAAGGGTCTCTCAGGTTTCGTGAATTGGATCCACTCAATTACTCGGATTCGGGTGATTTTCTTCTTCTTCTTCTTCTTTTTCTGCTCCTTCAATTCTTGTAACTTGTATACAATCTTTATTTAAAGACCTTAGCTTTAGTACGATTTCCGGAACTAGTTAAAACTGTTTCAGAAAAACCATGCTCTTGCTTTTTTGTTCTTTCACCAACTTTCAAATTCGTTATTTAATAATCTTGTTTTTCGCTATGATAGTTTCGATCAATCATGGGTTTTCTGTGTGAATTGTCATTGTTTTAGAAAACTCAGACGAAATGCTGATATGTCTTGTGAAATCAAGATGGTTGTTTTGTTGCAATTTTCAAGCTTTAGAGGTATAATGGTGGCCAATTGGCTATCTGAACTAAAATCTTATGAGGAAGTGAAAAGTTAGAAAAAGGGTACTCTCAATGATCATGAATTTTTCTGGTGTAATTGAAATAATCATGAATAGCGGAACCAATTGTAGAGTTTCGGTCTCGAATCTCGATAGTCTTATTGCAACATCCTTAACAACCAATTCTAGTGTGAAATTTTGGGGTAAGAAGTTAACAATGTTAGGCAATTCGGAGATTGTAGTATGTAGACGCTTGCGAAGATATATGTTGATGGAGATTGTAGGTGCCTATTTGAGGTGTTGCTCCTGTAAATGTTTACTTTGGTAGGCATGCTTGAATATGCATCACTTGGATCTGTCTGACTTTTATACCTTCCACATTGAACTTAACATGTAGAATCGGAGGATCATTTAATATTCTTTGGGGAGATTGCAACCTTGGTTTCCATCCAACTGCTGAATAATGGATTTTAGTACAATGGATCGTGCCCAGTTGACCCTGCTAGGATCCGCAGGTTGTGTGATGCTCACAATGCATTTCACAATACAATTAGTGTCGCAACATCTCTTTTACTGGAAGAACCCGAAGGAGCAGAAGGCAATAATAATTATTATTCTTATGGCTCCTATATATGCAGTTGACTCCTTTGTGGGTTTATTGGATATTAAGGGAAGCAAAACTTTTTTCATGTTTTTGGACTCTATTAAGGAATGTTACGAGGCTCTGGTGAGTGCTTTCAACTTCATTATGGTTTTTGTATTGTCAACTGTCTCATATCGCTTGCACAATTGCTAACTTCTATTGTCCCTACTTCCAGGTGATTGCTAAGTTCTTGGCTCTTCTGTATAGTTACCTGAAGATATCCATAAGCAAAAATATCGTGCCAGATGAAATCAAAGGAAGAGAAATTCACCACTCGTTTCCTATGACTCTTTTTCAGGTACGAGTTAGCTTTATGCTGTTTCAGTTTCCATCGCTATGGATATGTAAGCATAATTCATTGTGTATGTTAAATCTATCATATAATAACACATAACAATGGGGCTTTACAAACTGCAGCCTCGCACTGTTCGGCTAAACCACCAGACCCTGAAGCTACTCAAATATTGGACGTGGCAGTTTGTCATCATACGCCCAGTTTGTTCTGTTTTGATGATAACTCTACAAGCATTTGGGCTGTACCCCAGTTGGTTGAGCTGGACCTTCACTGTAATTCTTAACCTTTCAGTTTCTTTAGCGTTGTACTCTCTAGTGCTGTTTTACCATGTGTTTGCAAAGGAATTGGCACCGCATTCGCCCCTTGCAAAGTTCCTGTGCATCAAGGGAATTGTCTTCTTCGTCTTTTGGCAGGTACGTCTCGTTCATTCTTTTGCATGCGCAATTTGTGTATGCAGCCTTAGAGAAAATGCAGCCAAGGATATAGAATGTGAACAAATCCACAAGGATACTGAGGAAAAGGATATGAAACCCCGTCTATAGGATATCCAAGCTATTAGTATTATCTATTGTGGTTAGTTTTGGTCTTTTGAACATGAAACTTATTTTACTTGTTCCAAACTGTTCGCCGAATTTGATAGAATTACAATCTAAGAGTGATTATTTGCAACTTTGGTTTGTCATTCTCGGGTTTGTAACTGATCAGCTTTTGGTTAAACGCCACGTAAAGATTATTTTAAGGCCAATTATCGACTTAACTCACTCTATAAACCTTTGATTGTGCCATTTATTAACACAAAAGGTTTTGATCCAATTGCAGGGAGTGGTCATTGACATATTAGCTGCTGTGGGCGTCATTCGATCTCACCATTTCTGGTTAGATGTGGAGCACATCGAGGAAGCTATTCAAAATGTCTTGATATGTTTGGAGATGGTTGTGTTTTCGGTTCTTCAGCAATACGCGTACCACGTTGCTCCTTACAGCGGAGACGTAGAGAAGAAGATGTTAAACAAGAAGAGGGAGTGATTCGAAGCGTTCTCTCGTGTACGTGAATGCGATTTTTGGTTTTCCGTGTGTCAATATTTTTACCTCCCAGTCATATTACCTGGGTTTGGATTTGGATCAACTCTGAACTCTCTCATTCTTTGAAGATGAGGTGTTCAATTAGTTCGTTTAACAATGTATTTCTCAAAGATAATATTTTATATTTTGTGTTTAGTTGGTGTTCATAATTGATGATTTTAATTTTTTTTTAATATATATATTATTGGTGTTGGTACAACCAAACCGTAGGACCAAATTAATATTACAACCATGCATCAATCATAATGTGTAGCAAGGAGTGTCACATCCCGGTCCGGGCACCCACCACATCTCGGGCTCAACTCCGTCGTAACATGATATTGTCTGTTTTGGGTTCCGACCATGCTCTTACGGTTTTGTTTCTAGAAACTCACGAGAACTTACTAGTGAGTCACCCATCCTGAGATTGCTCTCGTGCGAACTCGCTTAACTTCGGAGTTCCGATGGAACTCGAAGTTGAGCTCCTAAAAGGCCTCATGCTAGGTAAAGATCATAATATACATATAAGGCTTACAGGATCCTCAACCCTGGACGATGTGGGATCTTACAAGGAGAGTACTCATGCCATGAAAGTCATTCTCGTCAGCAAGAGATCCTAGAAGGCAGTAACCCACATCATAATCATTGCATAATTTGTGCATATTTGTACCTAATAAAGTAATTAATTACAAGTCATCCCTTTCTTGCTTATGAAAACTTGGTATTACCTTGCTCGTTGCATTGGATTTTGATTTAATCCACCTAATCTAAAGGAAGGAGAATACTTGGTTTATGTATTGTGTCAATATGGGTATATATTATGCTGTCGAGATGAATTAGATAACCAATCTATATTTTCTACAGCATAACACATCAGGCCGAAATAAAACGTATTTCCTCTACTTTACAAAAAATTGGTGGTATTTACAAGGTAGAGGTTGCACAGGGAGCGGCAGATTGTTTTGTTTTCTTGATCGACGGGAGCGGCAGATAAGAGGGTTGGGACTGAATAAAAGGGACTAAAAATATGTATGATTGTCTGGTCGTTAAACCAAACAGTGGAGTGGAGAAGAAAATTCCAAACGAATGAAAAAACTGAGGACGGCGCCGTCAAAGGCCAACAACACGCGTGACGCGAAGAGAAAAGGCCAAAAATTCCATGCCACCTTCCAAACTCCAACACACAACGACGACATCATCAGCAAGGCAAAGCAAAGATTCCCACTTTTCCCATTTCCAGAAGCACAAACAAAGACGCAACCTTTTTTAGAGAGAGAAACAGAGGAGAGAGAGAGTTTAAGAGAAAGAGAGAGAGAGGGGGTGTTTGGATAATTGGGTGGCAGCAGCAACATGAACCAGAAGGCTAGCGTTTCTAAAGAGCTTAATGCAAAACACAGAAAGGTCTCTCTCTCCTCGTTTTTTTTACTCTTGTAATATCAAGTTCTGTAATTTTCTCCACTTTTTGGTTCAAAGATTTGATTTTCTCTATTATTTTTACTCCAGTTCTGTAAACTCCATTCCCGCAAGTCCTTGTTATTGCGGGAATGGAGTTTTTGGCTTCGTAGGTTTGAGTTTTTAGCTCAGCATGAATTAACAAATATGTTCCAAGTTGGCTATGGCATAATACCTTGCAATCTTAGGCCTTGTTTGGTGTGAAGGATTAGATGGGATTGGATTGGACTGGATAGAGATAACTGCTAAATTCAATGTTTGTTGAATGAAAAAAAAATGGATGTCGCTCCAAGTTTGCTTCTAGATGGAAAACTGTAATTGGGTTTATGTGCTTTAGTGATTTATGAACTTTTGCAGTGCTGCTTTTTTATTTTGGCTGAGCAAACTGGGTTTTTATAAGTCATGATTTTTATCGGTTTTGAAAATTTCTTCAAAACCCATCAACAATTTTATTTTTGATCATTGTCACCGGCCGTGTAAGTTTATCTTGCGCTGCCAGTCTCAAGCCAGGAAAGGGCATCAGGTAATCAACAGTCGGCATTCATTTTTTCCACATCGAATCCTTATGATATTGTTACCGCCCCGTATTATTCTTAAAGTACCCTAGATTGACTCTTAATCTTATTTTGGTTACGACACTATCTACCCGAGCTAGAGTGGATGTTCATCTTATTACCTCTGATTTGGTTTGGTCTCATCTGTTTTTTTTTTTTTTTTCGTATGTAGAGATTGGAGGGTCTTCTTAAACTACAAGAGAACAGAGAATGCGCAGACTGCAAAACCAAGTACGTATCTTGTGACGAACTATTGAGATTAGTATTTTTTTTCATTAAATCATAAGCACACGATAGGTTGAATTGCAAAGAGCAAGGGGAAGAAACCGACTAATGCAAACTATTTAGTTTTAACACTGTATTTTGGTAAAGGATTATTTCATCATTAACATCTTATATGAATGGGTAACTTCTTGTAATGTTACCTCATTTTTTTGGTGCAGAGCTCCACGATGGGCTAGCGTGAATCTTGGTATCTTCATATGCATGCAATGTTCAGGGATCCACAGGAGTCTTGGGGTACATATATCACAGGTATAATTCTCGGCTATGCAAACTTCGAATTCATTTTCCTGTTTGTATAGTGCTCAATTCCGTATTTTCTGCATTATGCTAATGAATTTCGGTTCAATTTTTTTTCCTGCATTATTCTGATGATTTGGATGCTTTTGTAGGTGAGATCTGCCACTTTGGATACATGGCTCCCAGAGCAGGTTGCGTTTATCCAATGTAAGTACCAATGCTGTTTTACCGGCTTCTTATCATTCTGGTGGGAGTCGAGTTTGAAATAATGGTACAAGTACTGAAATTCATTTTGGTTGCTAGCTATGGGAAACGATAAAGCGAATAGCTATTGGGAAGCCGAGTTGCCTCCTAAGTATGACAGAGTTGGAATCGAGAATTTCATTCGAGCAAAGTATGACTTCGTTTTTTCTTGGTTTAGATTCTTGGTATATGTATGATGCACTACTAGTTTTTCATGATCGGTTCATATTTTGGGCTTAGGTGTTTGAGTGCTTATGTTCTCCATTAGGTATGAACACAAAAAATGGGTTCCTGGGGATGGAAAAGCGAAATCACCTGCGAGGGTGAGTGAGGCAATGACTTCCGTTTATAGAGCGAGACCTGAAACTAGTACTCAACATGTCCATTTGAAAAAGATGGAACAGTTTTCTGAGGAGCAGAAAGGTGCTCGTACACACGGTACAAATAACTTGACAACGCAGCAGGTAGATTTTATTCGGTTATTTCCCTCTCGATTGACAACTGATACATATCATGCTGCTTGTTGTTTTAGTACATCTCTTGGTTCCTTTCTCTGTTGATGGTGTTGATGAAAGTAAGCTTGTTGGTCTTGGTGGACAGATCAGTCATGATCCAAAACCACAAGCACTTGTGCAGAAACCAAAACAACAAGAACTTGTGCAGAAACCAAAACAACAAGAACTTGTGCAGAAACCAAAACAACAAGAACTTGTTCAGAAACCTAAACCACAAGAACTTGCACAGGAACCAAAACCAGTAGTCTTGAAAGTTGAACCAGCAAGTGAGGCGGGTAGTGTTAGGCCCGTTTCAGTACCAGTTAAAGTGGATTATGCTACTCATTTGTTCAATTTGCTATCCATGGAGGAAGCTGTAGAAAATGACTCAGTGATATCTGCCAACACGAATACATTGGCTGGTAACCACGGTATGTTTCTTTTATTTATCATCATGACAGAACTGTTGCTTAATTATCTTGCGTTCCATCGATGAAAATCTCCAAATCAATTACATCTTGCAAGTTTGGCTTTGGCATTACCGCTGACCTCGTACCTCTTTAACATGCAGCAGTTGAAACAAAGTTGACAGAAGAGAAAAGTAAAAGGCCAGAATCATCCGAAAGCAAGATTCAACCAAAATATGGTGGTCTCGAGGATTTATTTGTACATCCAACCCCCGACACTCAACCGTTCTCAATGAAACCTCAGAATTATGTGCAGAATGACATTATGAACTTATTCGAGAAGGTATATGTTGCAAAGTTATTTAGCATGCAGTGTTGTGGTAGAATTTGATCTGTCGATGAACTATGTAGGTTTACGTTTAACAAATTTCATATTGGATTTTGGGCAGTCCAGTGTGGCTTCTCCATCCTCTGTGCATCAACAGCAACTTGCAATGCCATACCAACAACAGGCATTACCCATGGCGACTGTGGCGAAATCTAGTGGATCCCATTCCGTTCCTGCAAACGTACAACCTGGCTCCCATTCTATCCAGCACTTACCCGCCCGAAATGGGCAAAGCATTGGTCGCCAAGTTCCTGGATACCTGGTACCTGTTCATCCTCAACATTATCCTCAGGTTGTTCTTATGACAAAGCTTACAACTAGTGTTTTCCATTTGATGTTCCATCTCTTAACTTGTCATTGCGTTTCTTGCACCAGATTGGAAACAGCTATCATACACGTCCGGTAGAGAATACAGTTCCTTTCCAAACATCAAGGTACACATTATATCAGTTCGACATGATCATGATCAATTCACCCTATACTACAATATAGGCCGGTATCTGAAACCATATTATTCAGACTGAAATATTTTTTGAAATTAAAATAATGAAGAACATTGATTAACCATGTGATTTTTTTGTGAAACTTTTCTGTTGCAGCATGTACAGGACGAGGCCAGTAACACCAATTAATGGTGTCACAAACATCAGAGCTAATGGATTTTCATCAGCGTCACCAATATCTTCTTTCCCTTCAACTAAGTCAGGAAGCGATTTCGATTTCTCATCATTAACTCAAGGATTGTTTACCAAACGGTGAGCAGTTGCTCCTGCTGCGAGTAAAACGAGCCGCTCCAATCAATCATCGGTGATTCTACAGAATGAAAGAAATTGATGGAGAATTATTGGAGCAATAGTATTTTAGATGATTCCTTCCTAAGATGTTGATTTCAATTGTATCAGTAGGCCTGTCTCAGTAAATTTGGGTTCATATTGCTTGGAATGAATTCACCTTCTTTTAGTTGCTTGTAATTAGGCCTTTTCATCTCTGTTAAATGACGAAAACTAGGATTAAACGTGTTCATCCCAGCACGCGAGGTCATGTTCATTCCCTTCCCCTTTATACAGATCACGATTGACTAAATACGATCCATATTCATTTTTGTTGGTCTTCATTCTTCACGCGCATGAAGCAGCACCTTATAACGATGTGTGAAACCACAGGTAGTTCTATTCGTTTTTCTTGTTTCCTTCTAATTTTTGCTTTTGTTGCAGGTTAGTTCTAGTACCTCGTTAATTCTTACTACCTTTAGGGCTGGTTTATTTTCAAGTATTCAAATTTCTAATGGAGTTGTTATTGGTCCTATAAAAATGTCATCCCGCTTTCTTTTTAATTGGAGTGTAAGACTTTTTGGAATGCCAATAACAGTTTCCGTTTCCAATTTGTTTGTGAGTTTTCATCGAGAAGAAAGAAAACTAATTTGGAGGCTGATTAGGAGTACCCTAATACTAATCCTTGTCTAATTAGGAGAGTTTTATTTTCAGTCTCCTGCATTGTGTGTATAACTTATCCTTGTACGATTAGTCTATTTGGCCTTTCTTGCTGTCCACGCTTTATGAATCTCTATATATAATATATTTACCTTCTTAAGGAGACGAACACACATTCAAAGAGTACTCAGATTGAAATATTACGGTAAACCTGTTCTTGACATAATTTCAGAAGATAGTTCCGGTATCGCCCTACCTAATTAGTGTCAGACAATCATCTCATCTTAGGTATCTCCAAGTCTTTCCTTCCCCATGGAGCATCAGCATAAAAAGAACGTCGTGAATATTAATGATCTCCCTGAGGACTTATTCGTTCGAATCCTTTCTCGGCTCCCTTGCAACATGGTTTTCCAATGCATGTGCGTGTCCAAGCGTTGGTTCGTGCTCCTCAATAGTTCGTATTTTGTTCGCCAGTTTTCACGTTTCCAAAGGGAATTAGAGCAAAATCCCATCACGGGTACTGTGTTGTTCTCTTGGTATTCATCACGTCACCACAATCGTTGCCTATATCCCAAGCTCCCAAAATCTATAACACACAGATTTTATACTAGGAGTTTCCTTCCCCGGCGTTCTGATGGTGTATTTTACAAATCACTGTTAGTGTCGATGTATAATGACTTAGCTTTGTGCAACAACGAACATGGGGGAAGTTATTACTACATCTGCAATACATACACCATGCAATGGGTTGCTCTTCCGCCATTGAAATTCGAGTGGAGGAGAGATAGAGTAGGATTCATCTGCGATCCTTATATGGAAGATGATAAAAATTTGGAACAAGATGGTACTAGTAGTTGTAACGCTGAATATAGGTGCAGGGTTGTGCTAATTCATCACAAACACAATGCTCTTAAATTAAACATGGTGATGTTTTCTTCCGAGACTGGTGAATGGAGAGAGTTTGTTGTACCATGCCGACCAAAAACTCATTTGGTGCTCTGCGAGTCTTACATGAATTTGGCCCAGCCGGAAGGAGTTGCTTTCAAAGGAAAGTTGTATTGGTCGGGTAAAGCCGGGATTATGGAGTTGGATCCGTTGGCATACGACAGTAACAAAAACATTAGTACTAGTAATGCTGATGTTTTCGATAAATGTCGCTTCATTAATATTGATCACGAGCATCCAGATGAATCGGATTACTCTAGATCTAGACGCTTATGTGTGCGGCGAGGCTGTTTGTGCCTCACAGGTGTGGTCAATGGGAGTCGCGTTCATATTTGGGAGTTCAAGGGAGAGATTGAGGAAGGAAACTTTTGCTTGATATATAACGTTTCCTTGTCCCCAATGCTCGATGAATCTGGTCTTCGTCACTTGCATCGTGCTTCATCTAAACTGCTGCATTTGAACTCGTTTGATGAGGATATCGTGTATATAGAAGCGGATAAATGCATCTTCATTTGCAACATTCGTACAGAGACGGTTCTGGCTAAGCATGAATCGGATGATAAAAAAATCCGTGCGTTCCCGTTTGTCCTCCCACGGTGGCCCACACCACTTCCTAGCATAGCCACCATGCGTGCTTCCACAACAAGCAGTTTAAGTAAGCTCAGATTAGAAGTCCAGAACTACTAAAGTTTGAAGCAGTGACGTTTCTACGATTCATACTGTCAACCACACTTAGTGAAATAAGGTTTTGTTGTTATTTTTATTGTATCCTTCATGATATACATGATTAGAAGTCAGAACTTATTAGTTGTACTTTAATTTTTGTTGTTGTTGTTGAATATAATCAAGATTTTCAGTTTTCTTTAGCAATGTGAGAGGAGATCAATGTAAAAATACTAACAAAGTTACGATGCTCCTACAACCATACAAAATTAGATGATAGTTTTGTTCGCAAAAATAATTAAAATAAAAAAGAATGTCTCGCATCATACAATTTTTGTGAATAAACTGCTATTGTTAAATTTGAGCATTAAAAAACGTTTTCGAACTTGTCTTACTATTTATTGAGAAAGATTCTAATTTGATCGTATGATCGATGAGCCTCATGCGCATATTCTTTCCATCTCTCTTCTCGTGCGGGTATTGTCTGAGGTGTAGGGTTGAGTGATCCAATTCATATTATAGAGAATATACTGAGATGCAACCATGAATATTCTGTAAACCGTAACAATTGAGAAATTTTTAGTTGTGACGGGAACACAAGTGGTACACTACGTGTTTTAATAGGAATAGTGAAAAATTTTATTTTTTTAAGTTATTAATTTTTTAGCACATATATCTTATCATTTATTTAATAACACGTGATGTACCATCCCATATACCAATCACACTGAAAAATCTGTCGTAGCAATGGAGGAAATTTACAAATGGCAGACACTCAAGAAATGGACGGTGTAAACGGTAACCTGTTGATCAGTAACGACTTTGGACTGAAGACTTTGACTGGGAGTCCTCGTACGTGCGTAACCAAATCTCCTTCCGTTGTATTGCAGCTGCCCAATCAGCACACTCCCATTCACCACCGCCCGCCCACGATCCCCTATCCAATATTTTGAGGAGAGGGTGACAAATCACTGGCATGCAAAAGTAACCAAGCATCTTTATGATTAATTTAATTTAATTTGATTAGCTACCTTTATTATCCTTATTCAACTTACTTTGAATAAACTAATTTAATTAATCTGACAACGACTAGCACAATCCCATAACATGGTAACGGCCATTGTGCACTTTTTTCTTGTCAATGGCCCCAACTCCACCGTTCGTTCACACTGGAGATAAATAATTAGTTGTATATTATCATGTTTTCATTTTTAGAAAGAGATCAGTTGGTGTTTTCGTTACTGTAGTTCACTATTTTGAAAGTCAGAAAGACGTATGAGGCATTTTAGCCTCCGGTTGGCCACCATTGTATGTTTCATCAGCACCAGAATTCAAACTCAAGACGTGTGGTGTGAAATACAGATGTATTCGTAAATTAATATCCCATAAATTCTTTACCAAAAAAATATTCCCTTTATACTGGGGTCCACACGTTATCCATATCATATTTGTGCATGTAGTTGGGGGCAGTTGGATAAAGTATAGGTGGAAAAGAGATGAATATGTGCCTTGTTAAGTTTACGTTTGATTTCGTAGAAGTTGGCCATTTGGTGAAATCGCAGGCATGCAAAGGTTTTGCAATTTGGACGATTATTTCAGGTCCACAGAAAAGTGCCATGTATATAAGATTAAGACCGACAGATTTACCTGAAACGAAAGCACCGCGAACAGATTGACTTATCCTTCTTCTGTTTATCTGTAAATATACATGCATTGCTTAATTGACAAGGTTGTCATATATTTATTTATCAACTGTCTGTATTTGTGACGTATATTAACTACCTCCCAAGTCTCAACGAACAATAAACTGCCATTTAAGTCAATATTTGTCCCATTTGTTTCGTTTATCCATTTTTTCCATGGATGGTCGGTTTGGCTCTAGGAAGCAATCCACCCAACCATGCAAAAATGTAATCTCTTGACAGTCGACAACATCGTCACACGCGTATATCCTATCAATATGCAGTTTCTACCTCATTAAGTTAAAGGTATTGTCCATCAATTTTGGAGTCTCATTTTTTCTCATATCGCTTGTATTACAAAAAATATTCAGCCTAACCACATGAAAATTGACGGATATTAGGGTAAGGTGGTTAATTGTTAGTTGTCGGGACACTATAAGATATGTCCTTTACACTTGGACGCTAAAATGTCAATCACTATTGCTAGTTTTTCTTATTAAGTAGGCGTATATATCTATAGGCCAAAATAGCTTCGTAGATTGGTATAACTCCTCACTTTAATCACCGATGAGATCGTCAAATATTTTGGTCATTCCATGAAAAATCTCCGTTAATACGACCAAAAAGAAAAAAAAAAGAAAAAACCCTTTGTCAAATCATTTTAACCCATTGTTTATTAAATTAAGATATTTTTGTCGTTTTGGTCCCTTATTTAATAGAAAATTTTCACGTTGACCAAAATTATTGATGATGGAACTCATGACCAGTTCTATAATGTTAAATCTCAGAGACCAAAATGATGGCTTAAACCAATCTCAGATACCATTTTGACTAAAGTGCCTTATCTATCTATATATCCACGACCCCACTATATGGTTTGCAATTTAATTACTTGGTATTTCGATGTGGACTTGCTTTTCATATTGTTAAATCTTGCTTATTTTCTACAAGTTCTAGATGATTTTTCATCATCTGGTCAGACAAATAAACCTACTGCATATTATTTGAGTCGACAAGCACCATCTATCTGTCCCTCCTTGTTTCGCTGATAATTACTGTATGTTAACTGCCAATTTTTCTACATGTTCATGATATTTGTAGTTTAGTCTGTCAAATATTTCTACATGTCCATGATAGCCTAAATATTTTGTTCGTTTAAAGGGAAGCTATTAACATCTTGCATGACATTGCCACACCCGTCACGAAGCAAACATAAACTTTTATGTGAATCACCAGCACAAATCATGTAATGTATAATTTCATAAGTTATAGTAAAGGTGGACGACATAATTGGTATATTATATTATTTAAAATAAGTAACGAAATACTAACTCGTGTGCTATTATATTAGTGGTATGGTAATGTTACGCCACCGTATCCCAAATTCATCAAAAACAAAAAAACAAAAAAAAAATTGCTCATAAAACAACGACCAATCTCATGGGACTTCGGAGGAGTTTCATGGGGTAGTCTGTAGTTGCCTCCGAAGGAGGCAACAGGCAACTAACGATGCATCTTTATCAATCAATTACCTTTTCCTCTATTTATTTAGTTTCTTCTGCAATTAACTAATTTTTGAGAGCGACTAGTTACAATTTCATACCATGACACGCACTTTGTCTACACAAATTAAAGACGCACGCTAGTTGATATAAAATTTGGTGGTTCCTTGGATTATTATTAGAATTGTCTTAAATTTCAGATAGACGGGCTATGGGCCCACTCCAACAACACTGATACTGTTCCCACTTGGCCACCTGCTCAATCCATCAACACTGATACTGTCCCCACTTGGCCACCTGCTCAATCCGTCAGGTGTGGGGTTTTAATACAAAAGGCCTCGTTGTTAGTTAGAGTAAGGTAATTCTATATAAATGGCTTGTTCTCAAGCCTTCTAGCCGATGTGGGACAAAGGAATTCTAATAAATTGCGAGTCTTGACGCAACAGAAATGTTGCTTCTTTGTGACCAAAAGGTTACGGGTTCGAGTCATGGAAACAAACTCTTTGCAAAGTAATAGTAAGACTGTATACGATAGACGTTTCTTCTTCCCTCACAAAGTGGGGAGCTTTGTTAGCTTAAGGTCGCTCTTTTTTATGTCACTTGAGAGCTTTTTTTTAGTTTAATAAGATACGTGATTTTACTAACTCACATGTCATAATATAAGTGTAGATTTTTACTTTGCAATTTGGGAGAGTTCAGGTGGACAAAAAAGTATCACGACCAGAAGTTCACCTGAAACTAAAGCACACCGACCAGTTGACTAACCTTCTGTTTGTCTCCATATATATATATAATATATCGCTTAATTGACAATTTAACTTCCATATATAATTACCAAGTAATTACCTGTCATTTAACGTCCAAAATACTAATTACATCTCTGTGAACAATTGACTAATCTTCAGTTTGCCCATTTGTTTATCTGTTAATTCTTCTGCAGTTGTCTACCGAAAACTTCCCGTTGTTTCGGTTGTCCGTTTTCTCCTGATTAGGAATTGTGGTAGTATTATTACAAATGCTATAAGGGCCATGTTAAGTGTGGATATTATTATTTAAATTTCAAATAATGGATACTATTGATCTTCTTCAAGACTTCAAATATTTGTAGGTCATCTTTCATGAATGCATCGTATGGTCAGTCGTCAGATGTCTACACAAACATAGACGGAGGGAGGTAAGGCCTAGTGGGGGTACATGCCCTCTCTCATCCCTTTTGTTTCATTACAATTTATTCAATTAATCATGCTTTGCGGATTATTCAATTAATCATATTAAAATAATGAAAATACTCTTTTAGTTTTTAAATGTCTTTTCGTCTTGTATATTTTTCTCATGCACTAATGTCTAAACCTTGTTGAGTTGCATGTACTTGGTTAATTAGTACAAATGAGCATTAGATTGTCAACAATTAAAGACAAAATTAGACAATAGAGTAATAAATTAGGCTTTTGTAATTAATTTTTTCAGCATTTGTAAAATAACTAGCTTTATTTGTCCAAAAAAGGAGCTCAACTTTTTTAAGATGTCCCCTCTTAGTTAAATTTCTGGCTTCATCCCTGTACACAAATAGCCATATATTTAGTTGAATTGACAAGCACCAACCATCTTAATGCCCCTCTTTGCTTCTATGTCAAATTATTAATTAACTGTCATTTTCAGGGAAAACTTACTTACACTCCCAGATTTTACCAAGACGTTCAAGATCAATGGTATAATGTTATGTAGGAAAGATATATAAAACATATGGCACAATATCATAAGCACTGTGGTCGGCATTATGAGAGTGTAGGAAGTTTCTCTCATCATTTTCTTCTCCTAAACGAATGTTGACGGATGAGTGACACTATTTTTGTAACATAATTTTTTACAGATGTTTTTGTAAGGTCTATTTCGTAATGTATTTTAACGAGTTAAACCGTCTATCTTTTAGGTCTTCTGTCAATGATCATGTCTACCAAAAATCACTTAAATCTAAAACCATATGAAAGTTGGATTAAGGGTTTAAGGTTTATTTGTAAATCGTATTTGTTTATTTTCTTCATTACAAATTAATGTTTTAATGGTTTTGAATTTGTCCAATTTTTTCAATGATGATCTATAAATGATGTTATAAAAGATAAATAGTTCGGATAGTTAACATACATTATTGAATGAGCTATACAAAAACGTGTATAAAAAATTTGCAAAATAGTTGGTTCCAGGATCCACCCCATAAATATACACGCCATGAAAAAATTAAGTTCATCTCCAAGGATCAAGCTATAAATTTTCTTTTGTCATGCTACGGTTTGTTATGTCAAACTTAATGTTTTTTTTCATTGTGCAAACTGTGGTGTGGAAAATTCGTTAAATTTTTATTTTGCTGGACTTAGGGGTATACGTACATTTGTTGAATCATTAAACATATATTTACGTATGTAATGATCCTTTTGCGTATCTGATTAAGAAGCATGGTCACTTAATCTATCCATAGATTATAATTATAAAACATTAGATTAGTCGATTAGATGGTTAAGATTAGTCAAGATTATTCTAATCAAGTTAACTTAAACAAATAAATATTCTTATAATCTTTCAGCCGCAGGATCCAGTGCCATAAGATCAAGGTTACGTGGTCGGTTTAGAGGTACACTTTGCGAGGTACAAAACATGCGGTGTCACTGGCCAGCTGCTAGGGAGGAGCGTCTCCGCCCCCTTGGACCAGCGACTCATGTTTATGACTCTTCCATGTATCAGGAACACGGCTCGATAAATTAAATGTAATAACACAACTATTGGAGAATTTTTTTCATGTTTTCAACTTATTGTATTTTTACATTTAGTGTTTCAGGCCGTGTTTCTAACACTATGAAACTTTTTTTCCATGATCATGATATTGCTACGCCAAAAAATATCTTAGTACTACAGTCTAGTGGTATTCATTTTTACTTGTAAGTGAAAGATTTTGGAAGTATTATATCGTTTGTTCAAGAAAAAAAATTCAAAATAATGCTCACGATCTTAATATTCTCCTCAAGTAACGGTCAAATAAAATAATGCTCCCAAGATTTCAAAGTAATGCCTTCAAGAACTAATTCGAACTAAAGCTTTCTATACTTTTTGATAAATAATAATACTACTAAACTTTTTCTATCACCTAAAGCCAGTCCTCTTTACCTTGATCCGAAAAAAAACATGGTGACCCCATTTACAAATGAATAGTGGTCTAAACAAACAAAAGAGCTGAAAAGTCATTTTCTTCAAACGATAGGCGATTGTTCTTCAGATGTTAACGCATCTGATGTGGATTTGAAGAACGTTGAAGAGTTTGTTGAAAGAGGGAATTAGTGGTTTGTGTTACCCATATTTAGGGTAAACTGTATGTTAGATTTTTCTCAACGCAACCTGTATTTAAGAAAGATAAAATATCATGTACAACGACGGAACATAAAAATCATAAATGAAAAGAAAATTAGAAAGAAAAAGATAAGTGGTTGAGTTTAATGTGAAAAGGAAACTAAACACTAGTTCACCGCTTAATGTCACTTGTCAATGTGTTGCCAACTTGCCAAATTGCCATCCTGCCATGCACACGCTTAATTAAGAAGTGGTGACTCCATGCCCACGCATGTTTAAACTTAAACCTATAAACAGGGGCGGAGCCACCAAGGGACTAGGGTAGTCCCTGGCCCATCCTGACTTCATCTGACGTGTGAACCTCATGGAAGAAGATGAAGCAAACGACGTCGTTAAGCTGTTTTGATTTTAAATCTTTTCGGCTGTCTAATGAAACAATAAGTTTGGCAGGGGGAGTTTTAAAAGAGATGTGCAATTTTAAATGGAAAAAGCAACCCCACTTCTGGTTCGATTCTCTCACCTAACAGTAATATACACCCAATAATTTTCTAAAGTAACCCACCTTCTTTATTTGTAGACCTCTCCCCCTTTTCCTTCTTTTTCTACTTCTTTGTATTTTCTTTAGCCTTCCACAACCTACCTCTTACTTGGTTGTCTGGGTTTTTACATTTTTTTTCTTCTTAGTATTGAATTTAAGAGAATTTTTTCAGTTTTGTGAGGATTACACAAATTGCATATGTTAACATGTTATGAATTCAACTTTTTACACTCATATATATATATATATATATACATATATATATATACATATATATATATATACATATATACATATATACATATATATATATATACATATTTGTGAAAGGCCCCTCCTCATTCAGAATTCTAGTTCTGCCACTGCCTATAAATATTAGGTTGTTATATCCACACACGTTTTTTTACCTCTCAAACATCCCTTCCCGGCCATTGGATTAAATAAGTTGAAGAAGATTAAAGAACGAAAATTAATAATAAATGTATGGAAGGTAAAAATGAATGTGTGAATAGCATCACCATAAATATATACAGCTCATCACTTCATCTCTGGATCATGTATGGGTCGCCACGCGGATATTCTCTCTAACAAGAGTGGGCCATCCTCACTCACCGAGACAATAATCCACCGTCGATCACTCCTCCTCTGAATCCGACGGCTCAAGTCCCATCACAAGAACGCGTCCCACACTCTCCTTCTCTATATATTCCCCATGCAATTCCGTTTCTCTCAAACCCCCGCTCAGTGCTCACATCTCCAATTCCCAGTTTCCCACTCACTCCCTGTCTTAAACACTCACCCCCGTAATCACCGTAATCAATTAAAATCAAACTTGATTAAGATCTTAATTAACCAAAAAAAATGTCTTGGTTAGCTTCTCTGAAGATTGTCCTAATATCGAGTGGCGTCGTGGCGTTGGCTCTGGCCATGAAGCTCTCTGTTCCGATGGCGACGGAGTTCGTAGCATCTCACTTGCCGGTCATGTGCTCCTACTTCCGATCCTTGTTCCGTCCTCCGTACCTCTACGTCCTTATCAACTGCATCATCATCACCATCGCCGCTTCCTCCAGGTTCAATGGCCACGGCAGGTCGCCTCAGCCGAAGCTTCAACCGGAGTCGGAGGCGAGCGTTTCGGATCCTCCGGCGGTTTACGAGTCAATGTATCGAGAGTCGGAGGTTGTTCATGAGCTGAAGTATGCGGTTGTGATCAAACCGGAGTCGGAGGCCATTTACGAACCGAGGTATCGAGAGCCTGAGGTTGTTCATGAGCTGACATCGGAGTCGGAGGTGGTTTCCGAACAGAGGTATCGAGAGCCTGAGGTTGTTCATGAGCTGACATCGGAGTCGGAGGTGGTTTCCGAACCGAGGTATCGAGAGCCTGAGGTTGTTTATGAGCTGACGTCTGCGGTTGTGATCAATGGATATGTAGAAGAAGCAGAGCCTGAGGCGGCTGAGATTAAAGATGATCGTAAATACGAAGACAAGCTTGTGATCTTGCCGCCGAAGAGTATGTTGGAGTCCGACGAGATTGCTTTGCCGGTGGAGAAACCTCCAGTTTCGGCGAGATTCAGTCACCGGAAACCGGCCAGGTCCATTCCTGAAGGTATTTTCATTTTCATTTTCGTAACCCTAGTTTCATTTTTAAATAGTTTAATCGTAATTACGGTTTGTTTGATATTTGGTTTAATAAGAAGCACTTTTGCTAATTGCAGACCAAAAATTTTATTAAAAATTAAAAATACAAGAAGTATTTTCAGTTATTTAAAAATAATTTTGCCATTTTCAGAGCATTCTTTCTCACTTTCGAAAGATGCATGCTTTTTAAAATCCAAAAGTGCTTGTAATAATTTCTGACGAAACATTTTTAATAACGCTTTTCGTTATCTTAAAACATTTTAAAGTATTTAAAAATATTTTCAGCCATTTGAAAAACATTATCGAGCATTTGTTACCGGTAAATCAAGTAACGGCATAGAAGTCTGAAAACAAAGCAGAGTTCAAATGTGGTGTGCAAATGTCTGTGACTCTCTATCACATCCGGTGGTGCGTAATGTCTAATAAGCCCTTTTGTATCTCTAGCTCAAAGGGGTAAGGTGGACATTTTACTGACGTATATTACCGCGAAATTTAACAGGTGGTAGGCCGTTGAGGGTGGCGAAGCCGAAACGGAACGACACGCTGGAGAACACGTGGAAGGCGATAACGGAAGGTCGGTCGATGCCGTTGAGCAGGCACACGAAGAAGACCGAGACGTTGCCGAATCACGGCCGTCAGTTAAAAGTTGACTTGACGTCGGCAGTGGACACGTCAGTGATGGTGAAGGCAGAGACGTTTAAGGAACCAACCAACCAAAGCCTGACAACTGTCGCCACCGGGGATGGAAGTGGAGGGAGGCTGAGGAAAGAGCCGTCGCTGAGTCAGGACGAGTTGAACCGCCAAGTGGAGGCGTTCATAAACAAGTTCAACGATGAAATGAGGATGCAGAGACAGCAGTCTTTGGATCAGTACAAGAAGATGGTCAACGGTGGAAGCCATTGATACACATATTTGGTCAAAGGTTTTTTTCATCTAATTTACTAGATTTTATTTTTAATATTTCATTTGAATTCATTTTAACCCCCCAAAAAAGGAAAAAATATAACAAAATTACAATTAGGGTTTATGAGGAAATATTAATTATATGTTGGTCTGTAAAGCAAAGAAACCTTTTTTATCTTAGTTATTTCTTTTGACTGTAAAGGAAAGTAAGAAATTTTAGGAGTGTTCATTTCGATGTAAATTTTTTATTATATCACCATTTTCGTAGGTGCTCAGAAATATCAGATATTTCAAATTTTAGATCTTTTGGTCAAAAAATAAATAGTATTCTACTCAGATGAAATGCACGGCTAATGATGCATAATATCTTAGCCATCTGGCGTAACCACGACTACTAGCATCCCGACAGTTGTGAAAACCCTACTCAAGTAGGTGGACCACGTCATTATCACCAATCTTAATTATTTTAGCTAAGTTTATAATCTTTAAGTTACCTGATGAAGACCCAGTCCATAAATATAATTAGTGAGTACTCAAGGCTTTCCATCTGTCCATGGTCTTAATTATTTAGGAGGAAAATTAACGAAAATATTTAAAAATTTTGAGTTTTAATGATAAGGATAAAATAAAAAGTAAAATGAATAGTACCAGAATTGATTTTTTAGTGTAAAAATATGATTTTTCGTTAAAGTGAACAGTATTGAAAACTTTTCGTTAAAATTCTTTTATTTAGGTCCTAACCTAAAAGTATATAAGATTAGTCGTGTAAACTATTGATTTGATGGCTTGTATTCATAGACAACGATGGAGACGTACTTGAATATTCGAGATAGAAATGATTAAGAAGAAAAATATTCAAGATTCAACACCTCACCTATTATGCCGACACGCCAGATGAGGTTAGCCTGATGTAATCCGGGTGTTGGATCCTAGAATTTCTCCGGGTGTAAAATCATGCAGACGCAAGTTATGAGAAAGTTACATTAAAGAGAATCGAACCGGAGAGTTTCCAAATTGAGACAGATTATCTGCGTTCCCACTTTCTGTGCCCTCCTGTTTTGTATGATTATAGTTAAACTACGTTAAAAAAATTTTTTAGTAATATAAAATGTTAACATGACTTAACTGTGACCACACAAACAAGAGGGCATGGGAAATGAGGGTAGAGAATCTGCCTCCTCTCTAAATTGATATAGCAGCCTCTCTAAATTGATATAGCAGCCTTTTTCAGTTACCAACTCAGACTCTTATTTTATGTGGTCACGATTAAATCACGTCAACATTTTATATATATTTTTTTATAGAGATAATAAGACAAAAAATAATAATAATATAAAATATTAACATAACTTAGCCGTAACCACACAAACAGTAAGGCACAGGAAATGAGAGGGTAGAGAATCTGCCTCCTTTCTAAATTGATATAGCAGCCTTTTTCAGTTACCAACTCGGACCGTACTCCGGGACATCAAAAGATCAAGAGAGCGTACGGTTGTGTTACATACTTTTGCCAAGCTAACCACTTTCGAGAGATGCTTAAAATATACAGGTTCAAATACAATGGCAAAAGGGACAAAAATAAACCTGAATACGGTCAGTGAACATACGCGTCAAAATTGCTCGTAAATCAGGCGCCTCGTTTTAGCCTTTTTATTCTCTCAAGGGCACCAAGGCGGCTGCCATCGTCCTTGGTATCAGCATCTCCGCCCTCGTCTTTTTCGGCCTCCTTTCTCTTGTTAGCCAACTCTCCAAAAACAGCATCCGGGACCTCCTTCTGTGCAATTTGAATCTCCACCCTTTCGTCGTCTTCTGAATCATTTTCTTCCGGTAGCTCAATGTCTTCAGGATTTGCGGTAACTTTGATCCCTCCGTCGGTCTGTTGAATTGCTCCAGCACTCACAAAGCCTATTCTACTGCTATCTTTAGTGGTAGTATCGTTGGCCACAGGTGCCAACTGCCTCTCTAGAGCAGCCATTTCATCTTCGGGGACTCCTGCCTGTTTCAACTTGTCTTTTGCCTCGTCCATGTTCAGCCTCTGATCCTTTTGCATCATATACTCGGGTAGAATAAAGTGCGTCTGGTAGAACGATACAAATTAAAATGAGCAATTCAGGAACCCTTTCTCTGAGACCCTAATAAAACATTTACCTAAATTGCTGGAGAAAGAAAAAAAACTGAAAGTAATAAGCTTTTTAGATAAAACCAGATACAGAACTAATGAACTTACCTGGCTATAGCTTGCGGAAACACTTCGTTTAATTCGAAGCATCTCCCGGAAGGTATCTTCATTTCCGTGCTGCACTTCAAACTCATGCCATTTGTTCCAGAAATCCACATCAGATCGTGGATCCGAAAACTGTGACGCAAATGTATACACTCCCCGAGCACGATCAATTTCTCCCAAGCTCTTCTCAAGCTCAGCAAACTTTAAACACATTGTCTTCACATCTTTGTCTGGAAGACCAGAATCTATGGCCTGCTGGTATATATCCCTTGTTTTTGGGACGCCAAATATCTCTGTGGCACGGGCAATATAGATTTCATACATGCCCAGTTTCTCATGGTTTGGAACAGCCTTCGTTGCTTCATCATAGACTTTCATCGCCCGCTTTGATAGGCCATAATCCTCCTCCAGCTTTGCATATTGAAGATACAAAGGCTTCTTCGCATCAGCAGGGGCCTGATATACCATGTTAAGGTTAGTATCAGATAAAATAATAATATAAAAGGGCAACATTCTAGCATATTGAAGAACTCAAACCTGAAATGATTTTAAAAAATACAAAAGTCCACACAAATTCTAATACACAGAGAGTGGGTGATATGCAGAACACCAGTAAAACAGAAGGAGAACTATTGAAATGAAAAACATATAGGCTCCGTGCAATCAACTGTGATAAACTTTGGACAGCTAGACCAAGAGAACATCATTGCGCACTTCAATATCAACTTGGCCTATAATATTCATGTGATTATTCCATTCACTCGATAACAGAGTGCACACATATAATCACAGTAAGTATGAAGACACCAAAATGCAGTCCCCACATATAAAGGTACATGTATATTTCTATGTATAAATTAATATAAAATAGAAAAACCCTAATTATAGGTCAATAGTTTGTCGGGTTTCACTTTATACAATGGATAGTATGACTATGACAGAAGAAGGATATGATAAGACAGAATCTCAAAAAATGAACCATATGATTGCTAATCAGATATGAACAAAATCATTAACTTAACCGATGTAAAAAATGTTGAAAATCAATGCTAAATTAAAATTTAGTGCTTTAGAAATACCACAGTAATTTATCATATCCAGACTAAAGTCTAAAGGGGTAGAATGCTAGTACCGCTTGAACAGCCTCCTCAAATAGCTCTCTTGCGCGCTCAAGTTCTTTCTTCCCATATCTCTTTACAAATCTAGAGAGATATGTAACCCATATGTCTTTGACATGTGGATACTTGAATATTTTAGTACCTTTTTGATACACCTTGAACGCATCTTCAAAGTATTTATGCTCCTGTGCAATCAAATTCTAAACATAAGATGCTTACAAGTGAATGTTCCAAGAAAAGAGCAATGGGAGGAATGCCATACCTCAAGAAGTGATGCATAATTGATTATGATCTGCGGTGTGGCTATTTTCAAATCCAATATCCTCTCGTAAACAGCTCGAGTGGACTCTAATTTACCCAGGCTCTCCTCCAAGTCCACATAAAAGGCCCAAATCCTCAAGCATTTATGCAGCTTCATCTGAACCGGTGCATTCCCATCAGCAGCCACTGCAACAGCATAAGCCAAAGTCCCAAAGTTTAATTATAGCTCCCACAAAATCCATATACCTAACCTAACCTAACCATTTAACTTCTTTTTCCTTTCAACAGTTAAAATAAAATAGTGCAAACACAACTCGATAGAAAAGCCACAACTCGATGGGGGCTCTTAACAAACCCAAAGACTAGTGCAAACACAGAATCAACCAAAAACACAGTGCCTGTCAAAAAGCGCAATAAGAATGGAAAAGGAAGTAAACAAGAATATGGAAACCAAATATGGGAAACAGACACATTTCTTTTAACCAATTCAAATGCTAAAACTTAGTAAAATCACCATTATATTACCATTAAGAAGGCACTTGGAAGTCCAGCAGAATTATAGATCTCAAAGACAGTATTTGGAATAAGAATAATAGAGACATGGCCAAACAATTCAAAGCAAATCAAGGTGATTTTCAAATTGGAAAGAAAATTTCTGGTTCCAAAGTAAATACAAAAGCAAGCAGCATAAGAATTACAGGGAAGATACCAGGTGCAAGATATTTCAGGAAATATATCTACGTTTGAGATTATTGAAACATAATAATAACTGTATAAAAAGCTCTCTAAAGTTTTTATTTGAACTTCCAACACATACAAAACTACAAAACAAACCAATGAAGGATGAACATTACCTCTTCGTTTCACCTCAACAGATGGCTCTGCAGTAGCCCGCCTCATCAGTTCCAGTGCTCCTTTGAAATTCTTATGCCTCAATTCCATTTCTGCCCACTCACACCACAGACTAGCCAAATTATCCACGGTCTTGTAATTCACCTGCACTGCTTTATCAAAAATCACTCTGGCATTGACAATATCGTTGTGGTTCTCATACAACTTAGCAAAAGCAACCCACAAAGTGTGAGGCTTCCCAACCGCTTTCATTGGATCAATTGTCCTCACTGCCTCAGTGTAAGTAAGTATCTGCTTGGTTGGATTGCCCTCATAAAGCTTCACTCTTCGGTGCCACTGCTCTACATTATGAGGATTTTGTCGTAAAAGAACACTATTTGCTAGTACAGGTCTTCTATCCATGAGATGGTCCAATCGAGCTAATCTCAAATCTATATCCTTATCATCATGTAACCAAAACCCATCAAGCATTTTCTTCTCAAGCTCAGCCACAGACAAGTTAATATCCAATCGAAGATCTTCTTCCTCCTCATTTCCATCCTCCGCAACCCCATTCTCTTTGTCCTCCTCATCATCACTCAAATCAGCAGTTTCCATCTTATGGGCAAGCACAATCTCTTCAAAATGAGCATACGAATCAAAAATCACACTAAAATCTCTCACCGTTACCACAGTTGTCATACCCTCCTCGAATATATCCCTCGCCTTCTCATGCAAATTCCTTCTAATGTAATAGTCCGCAAGAGAGGTCCACAACCGCCCCACCTCATCTGTAAACTTCCTAATCCCACCTCTAATTATAGCATCCACATTGAGGCCCGAAACCTCGGTGGCATGCTTAGTAAGCAAATCACACAATTCTAGCCACAGCCTATGTTTCGTCTTCCCCTTTATCGAGTAAAACTTATCATCATTCAATACAGCAGCCAGCCTCTCGGCAGCCTCTTGCCAAAGACTAGAATTAATCAAGAACTCGATGAAATCTTCAATATGGGTAGGGTCATATTTCAAATACCTGCGATAAACCCGAAGCGAGGTCTCGATTGGGATGCCCTTTTGGCTCACGAACACGAGGTAGGGCTCCCAAATGCGATCGTGCTGCGTCACGGGAAGAGCACACAGCGCTCTGTCAAAGGTCCGGCGAGTCTTGGTGACCAATTTCTGCTCCGTCAAAGTCTGCAAGTACATAATCCAAATCCTGGGCATCTTGTGCATCGTCACTAGGGCTCGTTCAAACGTGTTGACTAGTGTTTCATACTGCGAGTGAGTGATGGGCAAGTTCCTTACAAGCTCGAGTCTTTCGCGGAGGTAAGCGTACCAGAGCTTGTAGCTTCCGGGCAGAGCCTTGAGGGCTCGCTCGTAGATTATGAAGCGCTTCTTGAACGGAGATTCGGCTCGAGCGATTAGGTAGCGCCACCATAGCTTGAGGCTGAATGGGTTGCGGAGAAGCTCCTCTTCGTAGAGCAGGTCGTCTTGCGATGGGTATAGCTCCTGAGAGATCGCCATGGGAGAGTGAATCTGCAGGGATAGCAATTGGTAGTGCCTGAAAAAACCCTAAACCCTATAGAAACAATTAGGCGAAGTTTAAATTTTTGAGGATTTTGAAGTTTCAATGCAGCATAGTCCGGGATTTTGGGGGTTGAAGAAACCCTAAATTTATCAAATTATACAAACAGAGAGAGAGAGAGAAGGCGGAGGGAGAAGTGAACAGATTGAAATCTGTTAACCGGGAATTGGAATTTGTTTTCGGCTCGTTTAGATCATTTTAAAATGTTGAAAGTCCTTTTTGAAAAAGTGTTTTTGAGTTTTAAAAGTATTTTAAGTATTTTTTCACAATTTACTTATATTTTGATTGAGGATTGATTTTAAAAATATTTTCACCAAAACAGCTTTCAATTATTTTGGTTTGATATTACTCTGCTTTGAAAAAAAACTGTTTTTGTTGTGCTTTGAGAATAAGCTCATTTTTACTGCTTCACATTTTTATTCACCAAAAACTATGAAAATAAGCTGTTTTTAAGTGTTTACCAAACACATTTTTGAGCTTAGCTCTTTTTTATACCCACATTTTATAAAAGCATATCAGTACCAATCAAGTACTAAAGCATATCCAAACGAGTCTTGTTTGATTGAAATGTTTTTGGGCTCAAGCCCATGAAAAGGCCCCGCCCAATCGTATGCCGGGCCCTTAATACAAGGCCATGAAAACGGCGGCCCATTAGGCTCATTGAAATGGGCCTAACAAGCCCACAATGACAATGATTTTTGCGGGCAGTGACGTAAAACGACGCGGTCTGCGAAAACAGAGAAAGGAGAGAAGGGCTCGTCGCTTTCCAACTGCTACACGTAGATGCCGTAAGCAGCAGCAATCATATACGCCAACGCGCACGCAACCCCTCTCTCCTCTTTTCTCTTCTCTCTCTCTCTCTCTCTCTCTCTCCTCTGTGTTCTCGGAGACTTTTACAAATACCCCCTGGCGCGGCCCCTCCCTCGAGTTTTTCTTTAATTTTTTTTTTCAATTTTTTATTTCTGAATCTCACCCACTCGGACCCAGCTGCAGCAGTACAAAGTTCTCAACTTTTCCCCATCCGAGCTGCGATTTAGGTAGAATCTCAGAGCTCCGAATTTGAATTTTCAGTTTCTTAGGTTCATTTCGATTTGGGGTTGTTTTGGATTCTGGGATTTCTTTGGTTTTCTGGTTTGTAAGCTGCGGCCATGGCCTCTTGAGATGACAGGGCCATGGCGTCCATGGCTGCTTCCGTGTTTGCTTAGTGTGAGAGGCTGATTTGCTTTTGGGTGTGTGTGTTCTTAATAACCTAAGGTAATTTTGGTTCTTAATTTGCTGGGTTTTTCATGGAATTTATTTTTTTTCAATTTTTGATAATTTTCCATGAAGAATTGGACCTGTTTAGGGTTTAGATTTCAGCTGAAATGTTCATATGCTGGGTGAAAAGAAATCATCATTGTTGTTGAATAAAGCTGAATATTGCAGCAGACTTGATTGACTTGAGTTTTCTGTTTTGTAGGTTGATTAATCGAAGTCCTGACCATAAAAAAAAAAAAACTGGAATCCTGACCTCCAAAGAAAACTGAAATTTATGGTATGTGATGAATATAAGTTGATCGTTTACTGCATTTTTCTAGCAACCAAAATCGACCCATGCCATTGAATTTTTCTCTTCCCAAGCATAAAAGTATGTTGATTTTCGTGGATGCTGAGGTCTTTCGTTTCTTTTGCTGGTTGTCAAGCAAATAGGTTCTCATACTTTCCCTTTGTTTTCTTTGTATGCATTTCTTTCTTCAGTGAATAAGGTTCTTTCTCTCCTTTGCGCGTGTCCCGTTCTCTTCTCCAATCCTCCACATTCACACGCACACCTGAGATTCCTCTTTCACATACATCAGTACAATGGAGGTCAAGCTGGCCAATGACAAGCGTGAAAGAGAAATGTATGATAGTTTTGCCGAACTATACGCCATTATCAAGACCACTGAGAAGCTTGAGAAGGCGTATATTCGGGATGTGATCACTTCTTCTGCGTATGAGGCGGAATGCCAAAAACTCATTGCCCACTTTAAGACATTGGCCTCCACGCTCAAGGACACCATCCCAAGCATTGAGCGGTTTGCAGATACATACAAGATGGACTGCCCGGCGGCTATAAACCGTCTTGTGACCTCAGGGGTGCCTGCCACAGTGGAGCACCGGGCTGCTGCAGCTTCCTCCATGACTTCCTCAGCCGCCGCTGTGGCAGAATGCACACAGAATTTCATCACTGCAATGGACTCCTTGAAGCTGAATATGGTGGCAGTCGATCAGGTGCACCCGCTGCTCTCGGACCTCTCAACGTCTCTTGGAAAGTTGACCTTTCTACCACCGGACTTTTTGGGGAAGGTAAAGCTGAAGGAGTGGATTGCAAGGCTATCGAAGATGGGAGCAGCCGATGAGTTGACGGAGCAGCAGTCCAGGCAGCTTCACTTTGATCTCGAATCATCATACAACTCGTTTATGGTGGCTTTGCCGAATTATGGTAGTTGACACAGCCACTTGCTAAAACTCTGATCTCCTATCACGGATTACTAATTTGCTGCAGCATATATATGTATATTTTTGGGAATGCCTGAGTTCTGAACTCAGTGATTAGTTTCGATATTTTGTGTCGATCGTTTGATCGTTCCAGATATGATTTCCGAACGATATTGTAGGAAGTACTTGAATCTAGTTTCTTGATTTTTAATGGCATATGATCTCGGTGGCGTGATTGAAATGAAATTGCTCAATATTGGGGCCATATTGTGAAAGTAAATTGTTCGATGCCCATTTTGTGAAAGCAAATTGAACGATCGATTAATGATTAATTTCTCTACACCTTTATGCAGCAATGATTAGTTTCTCTACTACTTTTGGAGAGGCGTCACACGATGTGGTATACCATGTGCTCCTATATAAATGGTGAGTTATACGTGTTAAAAGGTTAATAACTTAAAAATTAAAATTTTTCACCACTTGCATAAAAACACGTAGTGGACGATCTGTGTTCCCGTCACAACTAAAATTTTAGGAAGACTAATGAGAATGATTTGAAAATTTTAAGTTTTAACAATAAGAACAAACTAAAAGGTAAAGTAAATATCATGATTGACTTTTTAGTATAAAAATGTGATTTTTCATTAAAATGAACAATACCAGAAGATTTTCGTTAAAGTTACCTAAAAATTTCTACTTTTGGTTTGGTGCACCAACCGTGGCCTAACTCTATTAAACTAGTGTCAGGAATCAGAGATTCGAATGAGACGGGTGCACTGATTGCGGTTTTATTGTGTCTTTTGCGTTTGTTTGGAAAGTGTTTGTGTTAAAATAGCACTGGAATTGCTTTCCGGAAGGAAAAAAAAACACTTACAATGCACTTCTTTAAGAAATCACTTGGATTTGGACATGTTTTTAATAAAAGCACATTTTTAGTAAAAGCACTTTAGGAAAAAGCATTTCCATAGCTCGTCAAACTCAAAAAGGTTTTGACTTTAACATGTGAGGTGCGGAGAATTATCATTGGGTAGTTCAGTGATTGAGGATGAATCACAAGTTTGTATTTTACACTGCACATTCTCGATTTGAGTCCTGACATTGGTGAATCACATGACGGTGGTCAGGAAGATGCCTATGTAAGTTTTCCTGACCCTCGAAAGAGTAGATTACCATGAGGAGTCACCAGCCGGTCCCTTATTAAAAAAAAAAAGTGGGAGGTGTGGAGATGTAAGAGTTTGGGAAGGAAAAAGTAGTTTAAAAGGCAATGTCATTCATAAAATGAGGATAAAATTGGTTACAAAGAAATGCCTCTAATTGGTTACATCATGTGTTTACCATCTGCCAATTAGGTCCCTTTGCCCCGAGAGATTTAAAAGCTTGGAGGATTCCATTTCTAAAGTTTCGCTACTTTTGTGTCACAATTTTTGTGTGTGAGACATTGAAACCGCACCCTTCGAGAACAAACGGTTTTTTTCTTTTAGCATAGGGATTGTGGCGCTCTACTTTTAGACGTATGCACTGCAAAATGAATATGTGCAGGAGGCTAAAAGAGGAGCGTCAAAATCATTAGCCTTTTTTTTTTTTTTCCTTCTGAACTCGCCGTAAGATCTAACTATGAACAAAGTCTTCCCCTTTTCCCTCTTACTACTTCATATGAGGCAAAATTTGTAACATAATTGGAATTAGGAGGAGAATGATGAGAACTATTCCAAGAATTATAGCAATGCATGTCCACTTCCTTGATTTCTTCTGCTGTTCTTTGGCTACCTGAAGGTTGTCAGTGCCTCGTCTCACGAAAGAACTTGCGTGCATGACGTGGCTCTCGATGTCGTTGAGCTGATGGCCCTGGGCTTCGACCAGGGCGGCCATGTCCATGAATATCTGATGCAGCTCGATCAAATTCTTCTCGATCTCCTTCACAGCATCGTGTCTCTCCTGCATTTCGGATATGGTGTCCATAATCTGACCTCTCCCCTGCTCCTGAATCGCCTTCTGCAGAAAACTCTCACTCTCTCCGCTCGAAATCAAAGTTTCGATGGTATCCTCGCTTGCTTTCTCTCCGGTGATTGTGAAATACCTGCGTTCTATTGTTTCCTTGTACTCGGCTGTCATCCTAGCTCTCAACCCTTGAAAGTCATCCATCATGTCCTTTAGCTTCTTCCCCAAGCCACTAACCACCGAGGTCCTCGTTCGATCAGCAGAGGATCCAGGGCCACACCCGGGAAGGTTCCTGTGCTCTGCGTTCGAACGCTCTAAACCTTCGAGCTTCCCCTTGATGATTTTGACCCTTTTGAGGACCTGCTCGACGTCCAAGTCCATTCGGGTCCGGAGCTCCTTCATGGTTTGAGCATTGTGCACAGTCTTGCTCTCCTCATTGGATTCTTGCAGCTGCTTGTACAGCCTCTCGACCTGCCTCATGTCCTCCTTCACATTCTCAATGTCTTCGAAGAACTTGTCGAGGTTAACGCTTTCCTTGCCGGCCTCCACGTCGTCGAGGTAGGCCTGCTGCTTCAGGTCCGTGTACTTCTTGAACGAGCTCGAAAATAAGTCGTTCATCCTGCCTGGATCTTATGTATAACCAAAGGTGCTTTTCGATGGGGATTTCTTTCTCTCTTATGCTGGTGAAGATTGAGTGGACGAACAGAAAAGCACGTTAAGTTGTAACCATATGCGTACAACAATTAAGTAAGCTAAATCAATCGAAGGGTGCTTTTTCTTAAAAGTGCTTTTGGATGAGGGGTTCGGGCTTCTGCATCCTCCTCTGCATCCACATTGAGTGTAAGGAGGAGGAGGGGACAAAAGCAGAAGCTGTCACCAACATATGGACGAAAGCAGAAGTTTCCGTGTTTTTGGTGAGGAGGGGGGTGGTGGGATTAGCATGGGTTTGGATTAATTACATAATTAGGACCAGCCAAATTAACCTACAAATCCGTTTTAACGATGGCTGTACAGTAGATCCTGAGTTGACACGTGGCAGAGCCCCTTTCTCTTCATCTGTTTGTTGACTTGGTCGTACATTTCTCTCCTCCCAATCACTAGTTTGGTATAAGATATTTGTGGATAAATTAACCAGGCCTAATTAGAAATGGATAGCAAAAAGTAGTTGTAATTAACCATTTGTATTAGCAGACTAATGATATTCAATTTAGTGATTTATTACAAAAAAGAGTTAACAAGCTCACAAAGATAATAAAGGCGACTTCAATCCAACAAGATTCACAAAGATAATAACCTAATTATGGAAATCCAATCAGATCAGAAAAGGCATTAAAATTACCCCTTAATTGCAACGTACCAAAAAATAACAGATGGAAAGAGCGATATTTTAAACTACTGTAACCTATAAAAAGGAAATTCGAACTAAAGTACAAGGAGAAGAGGTGTCTAATTAGCTGCAGCTAGCAAAAAATATTTATTATTGAGATACCGCGCGAAGTTACTAGCAATAAATGCAAAATAAACAATAGGTTTTTTTTTAAATACTATTATCCAGGACCGAGAAGAGAGTTCGAAACTACTACAATAATTTATAAACGAGAGTTTCAAACTCGAGACACATGGGTAAAAACCTAACAACCTATCCAATGGATAATGCAATTTCTAGTTGAATAGGCGGGAAAAGAGATACTAGTTACATTACATCCCTCAGTGTCTCACAGCAATGTATCGAGGTGAGCTTCTAAAATGAAACTGCGTAGCTTCTACCTGCCACACGCTTCAGCCGCCTTCATCGTTTTCCGGTCAAAAAACCGGCTATCGTGTCCATTTATATTAATTCGGAGAGGACAACATCGTATCAAATTATAGTTTCTCGACCAAGTTACCCACTTTCCACCTCTTTATGTACAAACGTGGAGATGCGCGGTGCTGGTGTTGATGAATGTACAACAAAATTCTCCAGTTCAGAACACCACCGGAGGTTGCTGATGACCGGCCTATCATTGCACAGAAGAAGACATTGATGTTATCCCGTGGCAGTCATGGATGCCGATGGTTTGATGGATAAAGTTGCAGGACAGTCGTTGCTGCTGTCATGATTGCTATTTTCGAGGTTTACACCATTGCTACTTTCGAGGTTTACACCATTGCTGAGGGGTTCTCCCCCTCCCCCTCCACCTGCTTCACTTGCAGCTCGTTGTGACCCGTTGCCTGATGACTTTTCACTACCACCAGAGCTTGACAATCTCTGCTGCCTGAGATACCTTGCTGTGGCATCGTGAAGCAACTTCATCATGCCGCCTGAATCGGATCCAGGTGACAGCTCATCCTCGCGTTCTGGCTGGATATTCAGGTCAATTTGGCCTTTGAAAGGTGAAGTTGAGGATTTCGTCATGTTAAGGTCATCATCGGAAAGTTCAAGGATCTCTATTTTCTGGTTTGGACTGCTGCTTCCTACGTTACAATATGATAGGGTGTCGTCCTCCTGTTTATCAACCACCAGTAATTGCCCCTTGTGCTGCTTTCTGCGTGTAGTTTCTGCTTCTTTATCTGACTGTTTCTTCTCACGCCGCATCATTAATGTACGGAAGCGACGCTTCACTGTTAAGCATACATTGCAGGTGCATGTTTGCTTGTGTTTAGGACCCTTCCCACTAGGGGGCTGGATGCAGACAATACATGAGCATCCGGGCCTATGTCGGGGGTGCTTTGTGGTGGCCTGAGCTGATGATGGGAGCGACTCACCCTCTCCCAAGATGGCTAGGTTCGCAAGTGTGTCAAGGCCCTCCAGAACTTCAATGTTATCGGGGTCCTGTTTAGCAGCCTTCATTTTCTTCGAAGCAACTGCCCAATCAGAATAAAAAACACCGTTGCAATTTTGATTAATTGGAAGGATATGCGCATGTAAATGTTAGGGAAAACTTGCATGTAGGAAAAGAAAAATTACCATTAAACATAGATAGGCAAAAAGAAGAAAATGTATGCCCACAACCAATTTGTTCTCTAAACACACGACTTGATGAGCTCTGAATTATGATAACTGTTTCCAGCAATTCATACCTGTATTACAGCGGGGTAGCAAATCTTGGAGCTGTTCCGTTGTCAATTCTTGAGCTGCTGAACACAAAGATCTGGCAAAATATTTTTCAAAACATTAGAAAATCAGTTTTACCAATATGCACATCCTTGGAGATCATATCAATTTAAGGTGACCTTAGGGAGATGTCCATTTACCTTTCAGGGTCCCATGAATTCTCAGAACAAGTCCACTTTGATGGTAGAAGAGCATTGATTGGCAGTTTGCGCCATTTGAAACAATCTTCGCATTGAACCCACTGAATCTTCTCACTGGCAAGAATGAAACAAAGCATTTGAATTTGGAAATCTGCTAATTTATACGACACAAATAATGGACATTGAAAAGCTCAGAGTTTAGGCTGAAGAATAGACAGGGCGAAAGTAATTCTTCACCTTCATTCGAGGCATAAAAACATGTTTCATATGCATGGTGCAGGCTGGGTTTAGACACCATTTAACCAAGATTTATATATATATATATATAAAAGATGCATTTTCTTACCCAGAACAGAATAATCTAACAAAAAGACAATAATCAGACAGCCCTAAAATATTTTATTACGTGCCTTTTAATCTCTTCAAAAGATTCCAGAAATGTCAAAGAAGACAGAAAATTTCACCCACCAACAGCACACCCAGGCACAATTTTGTGAACCAATAAATGTTAACCTACAAACTTATCAAATGAGCCCACTTTGGTAGAGCAAATACCAATAATTTTTTGTGATAAATACGTAAAATAAACTAAAGTATTAAGAAGTAACACAGAGAAGTAATTGTTTTTTTGGTCAGGACATTGAAAACTAGATACAAGTCTTCACAAACAGATTTTAGCACTAAAATTGGCTTACCCTGCTCTGCCCGTCGCATAAATTGTTGGCTTCCCAAGAATTGGAGCATCCTGTAATTTGAAATAGTAGATCAGTATCCATAATGGAGCGGTCCTAACGCAATATTGAACAAGAAAACATAACGCATCAAAGACTACAAAGATGCAATGAAAAGATGTAACACTCCCCTATTAAGTGCCAAGCTATATTTCCCGCTAAGAGGAAGTTTTGATTCAACAGTTCAAGATCACATTATTATATCATATAATATTGCCACGAGTCACTTTGGAATTGATTACATAAAAGAAGCTTTCGGAGATTCATCTAGCATTAATTTTCCATTTGAGTTTTGTTAATAAATAACTCAATATCAATTTCTTTCTGAGTTTTGGAACTAAGTACAAAAGAATGGCATCCAAATAAAGTATATATGTGTAGCTCCATCGTGACAAGATATAAACGTTATTTTACCCCATCTTACAATAGTAATTGCAATCTGTTAGAAAACGAATTTATGCAATAGATGTGGCGTAAGGGAATGAACAGACACATCAGACCGAAGGAATGAGAAAAAATCATGAGCAACATAGGGCAACATGAACCCTTTCAGAAAAGGAATAATAATGAACCATGTACCTCATATTCCTCAAACTCAAAGCCTTCAATCACCACAACAGTGGGAACATGGTTAGCAGGAGGGCGAAGCAGGCCTTGAGCTTCTTCCCATGTAACCTTCAGTTCTATCAGGTCTTCATTTTCAATTCTCAGACGCTTACTCTTAGAACCCAAGTTACTGTTCTTCCTTTTTTTAGGGATCAAAGATTTATCTTCCAGTGCTTCTTTTGCTATGTAACCTGACTTATCAACATTAGACCATGAGCTAGGATCTGCCAATTCAACCTGGTTCATTGATAAAAAGCTCCGTGATTCTGAACCCTTTATGAATGACAAAAGTTTGAAAAAACTTCACCAGATAGATAAAGTTTCTGTTTTACTCACTTCTGCATGGACCGAAACTCCGTTGGTTGTCTTGTTTGCCTCATTTTCCTACCATTGTAATGTAAAAGGAAATGAAACCTAAATAATAAACCTTACAGAAAACCAAATGCAAAGATCGACATAAATAAGATAAATGCATGCAATAGAGATTATCAAGGGAATCAGTGCAGACTCAGAGACAAAAATGCCATTAGCTGATCATGCAACTTAATTGAAGTGCATAAATAGTCTGGATATCAGTAACAAAAACAGCATCCTGAATACATGCCGCTTAAATCATATTGCCAATCATCACAAAAAATTAAATTCACCACAGGAACTGGGTGTTGAGCAGGGCAAAACCTGATCAGATTGTAGGGAAGTTGAAGCCTTTCTGAACCCCATAACCAATTTCCCTTCTGGCTCCAATCGACTAAATGTCACTGGGAAAACAGATAAACTCTTCAGTGCAAAAATGAGGGAACAAAATAACAAAATGAATTAATTTACATTGAGAGCATCAAATCCAAAAGGCAAAATAACTTTATAACGCAAGAATTCAGAAAACTAACAACATTGAACCAAATTAAAATATATATATATATATATATATATATATATATAATAAAAAAATCTTCTCAAAAAAGTACCGGCAGAGTCCTTGCCAAGTTTAAGCATGAACCCTAACATTCATCAGAAATTTCTCCAGTGATGTAATATCATTACCTATGTCACCGGCCAGCAATTGCATGGATTGTATGCAAGGGGTAACCCCCTCCAAAACATACATTCTGCTATTGTTGTTGGGCCAGAAGCGAAACTGAAATATCCATTCCTTGCCTTTTGAATCCTGGACTTTTAGAGGCAACCCTTCGGGCTGAGAAATTGGAGGAAAGTAGGCCTGTCACGGAGGGGCAGAATGTTAATGGAATATGACATGAAAAACTAAGTTAACCTAAAAATTGTATGACAAATTCAAAAAGAAGATTCTTTCCATTATGCCTCAAAATGACAGGTTAGGCTTAGAAAGCATGAAGACA